GGAGTCTGAGCGTGAACGAGGAGCAACGGGCTGAGCTGTCGGGTCTGCCGTCTCTGCCGCAGGAGATCGCTCCTTCTTGGTCTTGGATTGCGGTGAGCGGCGTCGGGGCGATGTCTTGCTCTTCCGGGCGGCCTTCTTCTTCTTCTCGTGCTCCAACCAGTCGTTGAGCTGGGCGAGCAGCTTCTGACTCTCATAGTGAGCCTTGTGGCCGTGGCGGTGATGGTGGTGAGAGGGTTGAGCAGCGGCCGCGGCCGCGGCAGCAGCAGCAGCGGTAGCATCGTCGGAAGACGGACCAGGCGACGGCTCCATGACAGGGGAAGAGCGAGAGGATGAGGAGCTGGTGAGACCCATGCGACCTGTCAACCTCTTGGCCATGTTGGCGGCGTACTGTCTCTTGTGATGATGATCGGAAGGCGGGGCAGGTGGAGGCGGGGCGACAGCGTCAGCCTCTGGCTCAGCGATTTGAACGACTATGAGAGGGTTAGTAAATCATGAGTCTAATCCTGCAAGTCACAAGCCTAGCGACGATACCGGTCCATCAAGCCGTGTCTGCGGTGAAGTATGATGCGGCGGCGGCATGTAGTAAAGTGTCCCTGGGTGACGCGGGGCAGGCACGTAGGCACGGGCATGGGCATGAGCATGAGCATTGGAACAAGTCACTATCGCAGCTCGATTGCCAGCCACATGTGCGCGATCCCTTATCCTCCCATCACCGTCGAGATGACACGATACCACTTGATGCGAGTGCCGAGCCTGCAGACCGTGGGTAGGTTTAGATGGACGAAGCCAGACGTTTGTTTGAACTAACCTTTGGCGGTATTGGATGCGCACTCTTCGTCCGTCTTCATGGCTGATCGCAGGGGCTGTTGCTGTCCGGTGATCTGGGGCGACGAAGAGGGCGACATCTTGGCAGACAAGACAGAGGAAGAAGAAGCGGGCGCAACAGAATTTATGAGAGGAGGGAGTCGCGCGCGCGCAAAGTCGAGTAATGGTGCTAGTTCGCGGCTATGCGGATAGAGGAAATTTTGCTCGCGTGAGACGACAGGGTATTTGCAATGTGCGTCGGTGAAGAAAATCGAGGTTATCCTCCTTTGGGGAGGTGAGAGGTGACAGTTTGCGATTGCAGCTTAGGTCGGGTATGGGGGAGCATGGAGGGGAGGGGTTCAGAGAATGGGAATCCCACGATAAGTACGGAGTCGGGTGCTGTAGGTTCTTATCGGGCCCGGCGCAAAAAGACACTGAGGGGTCTATCGTGGGGCACGCAGGCGACACGGGTCACCTTCAGACCAGGTAGGTAAGGTACCTAGTGTAAGATGGACCCCAATTGTGAGGGGTGACGGGGGGCTGGCTGCAGGCTGGGTTAGGTTGGCTTGGAGAGTGGTTCTGGAAAAGGAAGATGTACGAAAAAATGAGACGAGAATGGCAAGAGTTTGTGCGGAGAGACGATGCAAAGAAGAAGGGTGTTCAGATGGAGGGAGAAAGGATAAAACAGAAAGACACAACGCAACACGTTGAGCGGTTGTTAGGCGAATTACAGCCGCAGCAAAAGGGCAACTAGTCGTGTGGTGTTGAGGTTGTAAAGTTCCTTAGTTATGGGCCGTTGGACGCTTTGGTTGACCGAGCCGTGGGGACGGGGACCACTAGGGAGAGCTCCTGGGCGGTGGACCTCCAGCTGGAAGTGGTCAGGTGCACCCCTTGCCGTCATCCCTGCCCGCTTTACGTCCCAATTACTGTGCCTATGTACTGCGTAAGGTACCTTATCATTGGTCCCAGGTTCCTCATAGCGCACTTTAGACCGTACATTCTCCCGCAGTGCCGCAAATGCACCCGACGACAACCGCACAAATTTGGTATTCCACCGACTTCCGCCCACCTCACATGTCAAGGTACCTTGTCTTCAGGTAACTTCAAAAGTCAGAGCAAGGGTTCTTCTTATCGTCGCATTAACACCAATTCGCTCTTCCATCACTTCACCACCAACTAAAAACTCGGGAAGGATTTTGTCACCGACATGACATCTCACGAGGGCCTCAGAAACATACTTTAGAGTAACCAACATCAAGTTTTGGCACCAAACAATGTCAGCCCGGTTCCATGGCAATGCCACGCAACCCACGCAACCACCCCGAAAAGACAAGACTAAATGTGACGTCAGGGGGCACCCTACTGTACCAGTCGGGAGCTCCCGACCCTTGCTTTCCATGGCATGGCGCGCGTCTTGCATGTGACGTACATGGCGACACACCAACAGTTCGCCCCCGAAGTTGACAGCAATTGACAGCGTTGGGCGAAAATGGTATTTGGGTTTCTCTCCAATTGCCATGCCGGTCATTGCCATGTGCTATCATCGCCCGTCCAATCTCGCTTTCCTTCCTAGACATTCATTAGTGCACGACGCTACGTTACGTTTGAAAAGACTATTTTCAAGTCTCAATTGGCAAAAACAAACCTGCTTCGATACTTGATCAGATACCAGTACGCACACTTTTAGCTAACACGGCACAATATCTCCCTCGAGATGGAACTCAGCCACACCTTGTATGACGAGGCCCAGCTGGATTCGTGGTTACACATCTCACACTGCCATTCACCGGTGAGCTACGACTATCTTGCTTACATACAACACACTACTTGGGGAGCTTGTAGTACCAACATGCTCCAACGCATGGCTAGATCTTGGTCGACCTTCCCTCCCTCTGCAACGCCCACTCAACTGCCGCTTTGACATCATCTACAATCATCTTGGGCTTATGCGTAGGCGCGCCCCTCTCCTGGCTCCAAACACCCGTCTTCACCAGCACAGAAGCCCACTCGGTCTCCTCGTTGCTGTAGTCATTCGCGCCCCGGATGTCGCTCTCCGGGTTATCTCCCACCATGTACACCGTCTTCAACGGCGCGATATCTCCACCACCACCACCACCACTCTTGCTCTTACCCAGTAAAGCCTTTCGATGAGCATCAAGAACCCGCTCCGCATACTGATACGTAGTCGCAAACGGCTTCCCAAACACAGTCCTCTTCAACTCCGCCTGCCCCGCCGTGACCTCCTTCCATACACCTGCCACAGCAGCCTGGAACGCCCCCTGCCCGAATCGGGGCTGGTGGTACGTCGTCGACCAGAACAGGTCCGCATTCGAGAAAATGAGCGGCGGCTGCCCGTCCTGCTGCCACCCGCCGTTCGGCAGCGACGCGTCGCCGTTCTTGGGCGAGTATGTTCCCAACAGACCGTTGCGCGAGAGGAGCAGGTCGGTGATGATTTGGATGTCGAGAGCCCAGTCGCGCGGGTCGTTGAAGACAAACATTGCGTCGATTTTGAGCGCGTCCGCGTCCGCTATGGTACCGTCGTGGATGGGCTTGGGTAGGGGCTCGTGGGAGTCTGCGTAGACGGACTTTTTGAGGAGTTCAAAAGGGAATACTTCGGGGTGAGCGTGGATGATGTCTGCAGGCGTCACCACGTTCTTGAAGCCGTACCTTGCTGGATTGTCAGTTGGCGTGAAGCTTAGAGAGCATGCGAACTCTCAAAGGTGGCTGACTTACAGCTTCGCAATCTCTCGACACTTCTTCGCATCGGCACCCGTCAGGAAGATAGTCTTGTCCCCCAAGCCCTCCGGCCCCTGCACCAGCTCCTGGAAGGGAGTGTGCGACTGGACAAAGTTGTCCACCGAAAGCTTGACCCCGAGCTTGTCGCTCAGATCCTTCACCCGGACGGCCTCGGGCTTGCCCCCGCCGTTGGTCAGGAGGATGAAGGGGACGTTATTGTCGTTGAGGTACTGGAGCGACTCAGCGGCCCCGGGAATAGGCTTGGCCACATGCAACAGAACGCCGTCGATGCTGCTCTCTCGTTAGTCACGCCTCTCACAAAGCTCCTGTTGGGATAGGGGTGAAAGGGATGGCTTCCAGGATCAGACCGGGCCCTCAATGGGCTGCACAAACTTGCGCCATTGGGCTTGACTCACTCAAAAGCAAATGCAAAGGACGGGGCTTCGCCCGCCTCGAAAACCGGCTTCTTGCTACTGAACCGACGCTCCGAACCAAAAGCCTTGGTGACGCCCGGTAGACTCGTCGTAGGCAGCGTAACTCTCCTCAGCCCGGAAAGCCCTCTCTCGTGACGCCCGATACCGGCAGCTGCGCATCTGAAAGGTGTCGGTGAAGTGGTGGTGAGTGGCCTTGAAACGAGCCGACCGAGGCCCGTTGCCCTGACTGCCTGTCTCATGACGTACAAAATGCAAGTCCCTTCAAAATCAATCTGGAATTCAAATATGCCGCATGACAGAACGGGAAAGGAAAATGGGTGCTGTTTGAGTGTGAAAGTGATGATGAGTCGAGGTTGTCCGTGTGGTTGAGGTTGAACCCGCGGGCACGGATAACGGATAACGGTCAACACTGAGCTCTCCCCTGCAGGGGACCTACCCCTGCCACTCATCCCAAAGCTCTCCGCTCGCTCGCTAATTTTAGCGGCTGAGTCGACCTCAGGTCTGCGGGGTGCGTCTTGAGCCCATCACTCAATGCAACGGCTTGAAACCGGCTTGTAGTGAATGACTGAGGTGCTGAAAATAAGCTACATTCTACTACCAAAGAGATGCAATTTAGAGATAACTGTCTTTTTTATGGCGTATGTCCATATGCGCTAGTAGCAAAAAAAAAAAAAATCGTCGGCGTTCTGTTGATAGATATCTGACCAACGAAGGGTCAGGGAGTAGTTTATTAATTCCGGACTGCAAGAATTGTTTTCTCAAAATGGAGTTGCTGACCATCCACTGCCATACCCACGGGTTGAGAAACATCTCAATCTTCACCCATTGAAACGCAAGGTCAAGGTGGGCGAAGCTTCAACAACGTTCTGCCGACTGCAGATGTCGCAAGGTATTACAGTGTGATTGAGTGGTCTTGGAGTAACGATGGCTCAAAGGTCTATCCATATAACAGTTGATGGTACATATTACACAAGTTGGTACACCACACACTTTTCATCAATCTTCTTCTTCTCTCCCTCTCACAGCCTACTCCTCCTTCTTCCACCCTCCCTGCCAGTCATTCATATGGTCCAGAATAATCTTGGCCGCCTGCGACGGCGAGTGCTGCCGCCCTAGCGCCTCGACAAAGTCGCCCTCGGGATCCATCAGGTAAAAGTATATGCTGTGGTCGACCAGATAGTCCTGGCCCGGCTTGACGTGCTGCGGTGTGCTGAAATAGACGCGGTACAGCTTGCACATGGCCTTGATCTCGTCGTAGGTGCCCGTCAGACCGATGAACTTGGGGTGGAACTCGGACAGGTACTCCTTGACCACCTTGGGCGTGTCACGCTCCGGGTCGCAGGTGATGAAGAGGGGCAGGACGGAGCCGGGGCGCTGCTTCTCGACGAGGTCGTACATCTGGGCCATCTTGTCGAGTTCGTCGGGGCAGATGTCGGGGCAGTGCGTGAAGCCAAAGTAGACCTGTGGCAGACGTTGTCAGCTTTTTCTTGTTCCTCTTCTTCAGCGGCATCGTAAGCTTGAACGAACCAGTGCGTAGCGACCCTTCATATCCTCGCTGGTGAACTTGTTGCCGTTCTGGTCGGTCAACTCGAATTGTCCTCCCACCTTGGGTCGTCCCATGCCCTTGGTCGCCTCCGCAATGCGCTTGCGCTCCATACGCTGCTTCTCGGCCTCGAAGTACCATGTCAGACCAACACCGGTTCCAACGAACAGCAGGCCTGCCTTCCATGAAAAGGGCTGGTTCAGATCCCCAGTCAGCATGACCATTCTCAATGGCAAACAAATACCCAAGTCCTCTGGGTAGAGATCATACCCCTGCTCTGTATCTGCTCTTTGCCTCCTCTACAGTCTTGAACGTCTTCGTCCTCCTTTGCGCCGGGGAAGGTCTCGTCTGGAGCATGCTTGGCGCAGCGGCAGTTGGCCGGGTCTGCTTAGGAAACGTCGATTGGGAAATGCATCGTCGGCATTGTGTCGAAGTTGTGGAGGAAAGAGACTTCCACAGAAGCCTCGTGGTGGCTTGCGACATGGTTGAAGTAATTGAAGGTCTAATCAACGAGATGATCTAGGGCGACCAGGAAGTATGGGAGCCTTCGTCATTCGAAAATCGTAAGACTCCAAAAAGCTCTCGGTGAGCTTGGGCCACTTTCCGAAAATATTATGGGCCGGAAGAACCATTGATGCGGTCTTTTTTCTCTTTTGTCCTGTTCACCGAAGCAGACCGGGAACCAGCCAACTTCACCGAGATGGCTGTGGGTCTTTTCTTAATGCTGGACCTTCACTCTCACTCACTCTCATTCTCTAACTTCACTCTAGTGAACCTCAACACCGCGCATCACGTAACAAACGAAATTGTCTTTCATTTTTCTTTCCAAAGAAATCATTCTTTGTTCTCACACCGAGCTCTCAATATCCATGTTCCACTTTTAGGTCGTCACTGCTGTAAAGATATATGCTGGAAGCCATGGATCCAGACGTGGAGCCAAAGATCAAAGGCGGCGAGGATGAGGATCTCGAGATGGCAGACGCGCCCGGCCAAGTTCCCACCACATCTCAAACGGCACATCAAAACACCGAGGAGGAGCAACCGGATTTCAATGCGGCGCCGTCATCACAACCCGAATCTTCTCTCCCACCTCCAACCAGAGAAGCTTTCTCTCCTTCCACCATTCTAGAAACCACCGAGAAGCCCTCAGAATCTCAAAAGATGGGCCCGAAGAAGAAGGGAACCGCTGCGGTCAAGAAGGTCCCGAAAAGACCCAAGGGTGGCCCCTCGAGATTAAGCAAGCCCAAGAAGCAGACCGATGCAGCATCCACAACATCATCCACCAACCTACACGACGACTTGGCAGGAGGCTCCGATGATGAATCTGACAACGGGCCGTATTGTATATGCCGCGGTCCAGACGACCATCGGTTCATGATCTCGTGCGATATGTGCGACGACTGGTTCCACGGCGAGTGCATCGGCATGAGCAAGGAGGTCGGCGAGAACCTCATTGAGCGCTTCGTCTGCCCTAACTGCGCAGACGGCGACCAGAACGTCAGTCTCTTCAAGAAGACGTGCTCGTACAGGAACTGCATGAAGGCGGCGCGTCTTTATGATGGTCCGGAGAACAGCAGCGTCTTCTGCAGCGATGAGCATGCGCATATGTTTTGGGAGAAGAGCATCGCCGCCCTGCCAAAGAAGCACTCATCTAAGAATGGTTCACAGGACGGACTCACCCAGGAGGAAGCCATGGGTCTGTTGGCTAGCACGCTTGCCGGTGTGGACCCGGATGATGGCAGATGGAAGGTCCAAACCAAGCCGTTTGCTCCAAAGAAAAACGGAGGTACGCAACTGAGTTCAATGGCTCAACTGGATTGCACAAATTCACTAACCACTTTTTGCAGCTGAAAGCCCTGAATCCAAGACTAAGAATCTTGTACCGGCGTACCTCGCCGAGGAGGAGAAGGAGATTCTCACAGTCTCAGCCGCGGAGCGAAAGAAGCTGGGCGAAGAGGTCCTCCTCTGTCAAAAGATGCTCCAGCTCCTCGAGTGGGCCAACGACCGGCGAAAGGCCCTCATCGCCTCCAAGCAATTTGAAGACGCGGCGTGTGGCTACGACTACCGCCTCGATCAGGTGGGCGTCGTGGGCCCCTTTGCCAACTGGCTCAAGTCGGACGAGGCCAAGGAGGTCTACAAGGCGGGCAACCTCGACGTCGGCAGCCGGCTGAGCGGCGAGGACAAGAATATTTGCGACAAGAAGCGCTGCAAGCCTCATCAGGGATGGTACTCGATCCACACTAGAGATGTGAAATACCAGATGAAGCTCCTGGCGGTGGACGCGAACACGAGGCTCGACGAGGAGCGCCGCATCAAGGAAGCGGCGGCGGAACGGAAGCTGAGAAAGGAGGCGGAGCATAATACCGTGCAGCATGTCCTGCCGGATGGAACTCTGGGTCCGGCCATAGCTACGTGAGACTGTTTTGGGTTCGATTCAGTTTCTGGGGTTCTTCAAGGAAGGCGATGACGTTGGAAAAGGCGTTTCTGGGGTCAAAAAGGCTTGAGATATCGCGGTGCCAGCTAGAAAATCTACTAAGCTGTGGCCGCACACAGGGAGGCAATATAGCCTAATCACTTCAGAGTGTTTTGCACAGATGGTGCCGACGGCCGTCCATAATCACAATCACGACTTGATACGATTCCCAGAACTGCGGCGATGGGTGATGGTATTGCTCTATGCCTTTGCCCATGAACATCAATATCATTCATCGTCCCACCTCATTACCGTTAAGCATGTGTCTTCAGCTGACATATCTGTTGGACAGTCAAAGCCAACGCAGCAAAGACATAATACCAAGAAATAAAGCATTCTGTGGAACCATAATTCTAGAAGCAAGGGATCAAACATCCTTCAAAGGATGTTCACCTCGTACAAATCGCCAGTGACTAAGCACCCCGGACACGCCAAGACATCAATCCGGCCCGGGACTTGTCTCTGCTTGTCTTTGATCCTTCAACTTTCCCACACCCAAATAATCTCTCACCCATTTTCCCATATCCTCATTTGCCATACGCACACATATTGGCATGCTCTCCGCGTCATACACCAAGGTCAATCAACCACACCAAGAATGCGTCAAGAAATAACAAAGCCCCTGAATGTACGAACAGGGCATTCCACCTGGTGTCCATCATGATATTCCACACCCAATTACCCTTCGCGGCCCCATTTCCCTTGCCGCCAAGCACAGAGCCGAGGAACCCGTCGTGCCCGTCTGGGGTGTCCTGCTGTGCCTCTCTAACCATCTTTGGGCTGGCGCGACCAGACTATCAAACCCCAAATCTCCAAATCTCGTAAAAACAACGAACCCTCAAGGTGGCGCGAGGTCTGCCTACCGGTATTATGCAGTTGGGCTAGCTCCAACGGCCCCAGATAGCTCTGCTGGGCGTGGCTCCAACGAGACATTTGCTTTCTTTCCCCATTTTTGCGACTGTACTAGAGGAGAGCTCCCGCTGGTTGCCCATTGACAGAAAAGGACGTGCGATCCCGTCGCCGTTGGCATCTGACAGCTCCGGCCGACGATACTCTGCTTTCTTCTTCCTCTTGCAGTCTTCAACGGCCTCCTGTTGCTAACCGGCCCATGTTCCCTGTTTCTCGAATGACTATTTAGACGTCTACCAGGATAAGCTTCTCCGCATAAGAAGCAGTCTGCGGGGGTGGAGGAGACGTAAACAACAGGGACTCAGTCTCCAACCACAGGCGTCCGTTTCTCGAGGGAGTTGAAGCTTTGGCCCTCCCCCAAGTCCACAGGGATGAAGCTATCCACGACGACCTTGGCCCTCGCGGCCCTGGCGTCGGAAGCCGTCTCGCAAAAGGTCATCTCAGCCAACTTCCACAAGATCCAACTCCCCGTAGACCTGGTCCAAATCACCCGCCGCGACACCCTCACGCTCGCGGCGCTCAACAATATCACGGGCGGCGGGTACTACTCTGAAGTCGAGATCGGCACCCCGGGACAGAAGGCGCTGCTGCACGTCGACACGGGCAGCAGCGACACGTGGATCGTCGACAAGCAGGCCGACCTTTGCACGAGCACGAAGCTGCAGCGCCAGTATGAGACGGGGTGCACCGAGACGTACAACTCGACCGCCAGCTCGACGTACAAGGTTGTCGGCCAGAATGGGTTTGATATCACGTACCTTGACGGCAAGAACATTAAGGGAGACTACATCTCGGATGTCGTCAGCATTAATGGGAAGACGGTCAAGGATCAGCAGCTTGGCTTGGCGATTCAGACAGTCAAGGGTACGGGGCTGATTGGGCTCGGGTTCTCGCAGACTGTGGCGACGAAGCGCAAGTATCCCACCATTCTCGACAACATGGTCACGCAAGGTGTCATAGGCAGAAAAGCCTTCAGTATATGGCTGGTAAGGGAGGGTTCCGCCACTTTCATCTTCGTGGCATGTCCGCTAATCTTAATGAGTAGAACGATCTTTCATCGTCTGAGGGAACCTTGCTGTTCGGCGGCATTGACACGGAGAAATACATCGGCTCGCTCACCACGCTCCCGCTCGTCAACGACCACCACTCGGGCAACATGACAAGCTACAGCATATCCATGACCGGCGTCGAGATCGAAACACCAGACGGCAAGACAGTCAACATGGCCGGGGGAAACTTCAACGCCGCGACTGTTCTCGACTCCGGGTCCACAGTGTGTCTCCTCCCAGAGCAAATGGCAAAGGACATTTGGGTTAAATATGACGTCGTCGATGCGGGTTACGGCTTCATCGACTGCAAGTGGCGCGGGCCCCAAGGCGAGGGGATCTTCTTCGACTTTGCTTTCGCCGGCGTCAAGATCCGCGTCCCGATGGAGGAGATGGTGTTGGACAACCTGGACCCCATCATGGACCAGCTCAAGGGCCTCACCCCGTTCGACAAGCCCTGCATGTTTGGCATACAAAACAGTGCCGCGTTCGACGTCAACAGCACAGAGTTTGCGCTGCTGGGCGACACGTTCCTGCGCAGCGCGTATGTCGTCTACGACGAGGCGAACCACCAGGTCGGCATCGCGCAGTCGAATCTCAATGCGACCCGGACCAATGTCATTGAGCTCCGGGCGGGCGAGACTAGTTTGCCGACGGCCACGGGTGTGGCGAGCCAGGCTAGTACGCCGGCGCCGACGTCGACGAGGGCCGGGACGGGAACGATGACGGGGACGGCAGCTGCTGGGATAGATACGTCGGTTGTCTCGGCAGGCGCTGCGACGCCGTCTTCGAGCGAGTCACCGAATGCCGCGTCACATCCCGGGTTGGTAGCCTCGGAAACGGACGGGTTTCTGGTCATGGTGCTCATGTCTGTCTTTGCTGTCGTGGGCGCGGCCCTGATGGCGGGTTAATTCTCATACATACTATCCATACTTTTAAATGATAATGTAATTTAACGTCAAGATACAGGCGCTCTTCGTCACGTTGAGGATGCCTTCAAAGCGTGGTCTAGGCATTCACTGTGTCTACCTTCGGTCTGCGGATGGTTTATGAGAGAGGTATCCCACTTGAATCAGTAATCGACTTGCTGTATTCAGTAAATCGTGATTCAGATTGTCGTCTCAAGCTGGGGAATGTCACTGGTCAAATTCCGAGCCCATCAATGGAGGAGGGGAACCGGTGGAGCGGTTGCACCCGAACGGGAAATTTTTTCACGCCGGTTTTTCGTCACCCGTGCCGAGCGGACGGTGCGCCGCGACTTTTCAACCTTTTGAGCGTTTCCCAACCTCATCCCGAACTCGGCTTCGAACCCTGACTCATCCTCCGTCTTCTATTCACCAAGGTGCGCCAAGTTGCTGTCTATAAGGCTATAACTCACGTCGCTCACATTTCCAGACTTCAACCTCCGTCCCCTGTCGCGCTTTAATAACTCGACTGCCCCTCCATTGAACCCCTCCAAAGCCGACAATTTCAACCCCTCCACCCCACATTCACTCACCTCATTCACACAGCCCTCTCACAATGGCGACTGCTAGCGTCACATCCGTCGACCTCACCGGCCTCAAGAAGATCGGCCAGGGCAAGGTTCGCGATGTCTTCGAGGTTGACGAAAAGACGCTGCTCTTCGTTGCCTCCGACCGCGTCTCGGCTTTTGATGTCGTCATGAAGAACGGCATCCCTGACAAGGGCGCCATTCTCACCCACGCCTCTGTAAGGCTCTCACTTCACTCCACTCACTCACACACTCAAATCCTCTCATTTCTCACAGCCCCTTCTCTATATCCTCGAATCTCAGATCATGTGAGATGTCATCTTTACTAATTCGACTGCCCAACGGCGCATAGGCCCACTGGTTCAAGGTCCTCACCGACCGAGTCCCCGGCCTCAAGACCCACTTCATCACCCTCGACCCCCCGGCCGGCCTGCCCGCCGCCGACGCCGCTCTCATCAAGAACCGCGCCATGCAGGTCCGCCGCCTCAAGGTCATTCCCCTCGAGGCCATCGGTATGTCTCAGCCCCATGCATCCCATACTGAACCTTCTCGTGATGTGAAATGTTGACTGTAATCCCCACAAGTCCGCGGCTACCTCACCGGCTCCGCCTGGAACGAGTACAAGTCAAAGGGCACCGTCCACGGCATCCCCGTCCCCGCCGGCATGCAACAATCCCAAGCCTTCGCCACGCCCCTCTACACGCCCTCCACAAAGGCAGAACAAGGCGAGCACGACGAAAACATCCACCCCGACGAGGCCGTCAAGCTCGTCGGCGCCAAGTACGCCCACCGCGTCGAGGAGCTCGCCCTCCAGCTATACGCCGCGGCGCGCGACTACGCCGCCGAGCGCGGCATCATCCTCGCTGACACCAAATTCGAGTTCGGCGTTGACCCGGACACGGACGAGGTCGTGCTCGTGGACGAGGTGCTCACGCCCGACAGCAGTCGGTACTGGCCTGCTGCTGGGTATGCTGTCGGCCGCGACCAGGAGAGCTTTGATAAGCAGTTTATTCGCAACTGGTTGATTGAGCAGAGGCTCAAAGGCAAGGAGGGCGTTGCGCTGCCCGAGGATGTGTGCAAGGCTACGGCGGAGAAGTATAAGGATGTGTTTGTCAAGTTGGTGGGGAAGAGCTTCGATGAGGTTGTTGCGTGAGGAGAGTCCTGAGGGGAGGGGAAGTCGTGTTTACTATCAGTTGCTTGCTATATCAAAGTCTCTAGAATTGCCATCCCGAGTCTGGAAGATTTGGGAATGGCATAAGAATAGGAAAGAAGTTCTTTTGCTGAATGTGATAGTGAGGTAGTAAAGCTCGCTCGATTATCGGAAAAGCGTATAGTACAGTTTGAACATCCCGGACGAGCTACAATACAACGGCAGTGCAACCTTGAAAGCGGCCGCCAATATTGGGATATCAACAGTTCCCTCCCGTCTTTTCTTCCAAACTTTTCTCAAGATCGTGCGCCGGGCATGAAGTGTGAATGGGGCTCGACGAGTTGCTCGAAATGTCCAACATCTCTTTGGCATCCTCAAAAACCAGAAGATCTGATGAGCTGTCCTCTTCAGACTCGATTCCATAATCCAAAGGATTCAGCAGACCCGACTCCATGAGCTCATCAATGCTTCCATGGGCTTTGGCTTCCATCTTCAGCACCGATAGCAACTCATCAAAGGCTACGCTCAGCTCATCTGACGAGTCATTACGCCCATCAATGACTTCCTTGTAGTGATCCAGAATATACGTTTTGTCAGGATAGCTTCGAAGATGCTCGGCTGCCGTTAAGAGAAGTATTGTTTCAACGTCGGCATATCTAGCGACAGTCTCCAAGAGGTTGGGTCCCTTCAGTCTTGGGCACTCGTTGTAGTCGAACCATCTCTCGAGAAGGAGTTTCAGAACGCTATGGTTGTTGTATTGAATTGCTGCAGTTAGGGGTGTTTGGCCAGCTTTTGAAGTCGCGTTGATGTCGGCTCCGTATTCCAGGAGAAGCATTGCATGAGCGGCGCTGTTTCCCCTGGCAACATGCAGGAGTGGTGCGACGCCATCTACACCGCTCGCTTCAATCTTTGCGTTAAAATCCAGTAAAGTCTTCATTAGGACCGGGTCCGGCGCGTTACGTGCGGCGCAATTGAGCGGTGTGCCGAATGTGACCGACGGTGGCAGTTCGGGATCCGGTAGTGCTCCGGCCTCTAGAAGAAGTCGAACACACACTGACTGGTTCTGATTAGCAGCGAGAGTGAGTGGTGTATTGAGTTTCTTGTCCATGTTGTTGGGATCAGCACCCCAGCTGAGGAGTGTCACCACGGCTCGCTCGTCGCCTCTTGCTGCTGCCCACTGCAGTGCTGTCCGTCCTGTGCCGTCTGGAAAGTCTAATGAGTTTGGGTCCTGCCGTATTTCCTCTTCTAAATCACCAATACAAAGGCCTAGGACAATCTTATGGATTCGAGCAAAGTTTTGGCGTTCATTGAAATCACTACCCTCTGCAATGAGCCGAAGAATCTCAATAACTTCCTGTGAGATGTTGGCCCGGAGTATTATGTCTCCTGCCTTGTCGCTTGGGCAATCGTCACTTGGTGCAATCGGCCTGCAAGTCAACATGTTTAGTACATCACGAGATATTGCGAGAACTCGTTGAGTTGTTGGCATACTTATAGGTTGGATCTGCCCCTGCAGACATCAGAAACTTGCATGTCTCATACTGTTGCCCATACAGCGCCCACTAAATACTGTTAGCAACATGCCCTGATTTGACAATGAGACTGCTCCACTTACTCGGAGAAGAGAGTATCCTCGCGTTGAGCTAACATCACGAGGCGATGCTAGTCCCTGACCAAACAAACTCTTCAAGCCTTGTATATTTCCATCAAGCGCATAGCTCACACATTGCGATGAATCCGGTACGCGTCGCAAGGTGCTCAATTGAAGGGAAGGGCCAACATTCGCTTCGTACGATAGATGTAGACGAATGATTTGAGACCAGCACACCCCCAATGGAAACCAATATTCAACATTCACCGCCGGCGTCTGCCCCTTAATACACGCTGCCGAATCGCATTTGGTGCTCAGCAAAGGCAGCCCGCTGTAACCTAGCATAAGCTGGCCAACCATACGGTCCATGAATGATGGGGACTTTCTGAGCTTTGAGGAGTGGCAAGAGCAAAGACAGGTCGACTGACACGTTGTCCGAGCCTGGCGTAGACGAACTCCGACAGACGCAGACTTTTCTTGGATTCGTGCAGCCGAAGCTGGACTGACGGCTCGGACAACACGTCTTCTCGCAGGCGGAGTTGACGCATTGTAAAGTCGGCCGACCTGAGTGACTTGCGAGGTATGTATGTCTCTTGCCTGGGCTCGGAGAAGTGCCTCAAGCTTATTTAAACGCTCATCGACTTGGGAGTATGACCTGTTTAACGACTCCTCCATTGTGCCGTGATGTTCATTGAGCAGAGCTTGTATGAACTCGTCTTGTGCATCCTTCTCGGGGTAAACTGGCTCCTTCGAGTGCGATATTTTCAAGCTGAGCTCTTCTAAACAGAGACGGACGTGCATCATATCTTGTCTGGTGAAAGTCAGCTACATGAGGTCTTAGACATGGTTTCGATATGCTTTGAGGGCCGACTCACGAATTTGACGCGCCCAGCAGGACATTCAGACTTGATTTTACTTGCTTGATCTGCTCCTGAAGCGAGGACACGGTGCCTTGCTCTCTCCTCCACATTAGTACACGAGAAATAGCCTCTTTCTTCTTCGTTCCCGTTGCTAGAAGACGCTCGAGGATTGCTTTCAGGTCTACCAAGACATTATTCCCCCTAACCAAGAGGGGCAGCAGCGTCGATTCACCGTAGGCATCCTGCCCAGAGACCCTTCTCTCCTTGACGGCGATGGCAACTTGCTGCAAAACGACATTGAAGTCCTGTATTTCGTTGCTCAGCGCATGCATGCGGCCGGGTAAAGAATCCCAGTCTTCGCGAATCCCAGCGAGGAGGTTAGCAACCTGCGCCGCTACGGTCGTTATCGCAATGATGCCTGCTGGAATCGACAAAGGATCCATTAGTAAAGACTGGTGTTGCGCAGACCCTGTCGCACAGAAGCGGGGAAGTTTGGCAAGGTGAAGAATGACTTGTTTGCTCGATGTGGCCAGACGACACCGAGCCGCGAGGCTGCAGGCTGTATGTGAACCAACAGAGGACAGCCATCGAATGCTATCAGCTACAATGTGCAGATGAACACGTGATGCCTGCAAGGGTCTTTTAACGAAACATACCTTTACCCCGCGCTTAGCCATGTTCATCTCTCACCCAACGCGAACGAGGACGTGGTGTTTTTACCGTCCCAATTGAATAGAGTCAGCACAAGTGACCAGAGCAGCCATTCTAGTTTGGCCGGTTGCCAATATGGTGTCTCTTGACGGCCAACCGTCATCAGGACTAACGAATACTTTTGGAACTCAAATGCGAGAAGAGTGCTTCACTTTCTCTGAGGGTTATCGACCTCTTAATCATGGTTCATTTGGGACTTTCCCAAAAGAGGTTCGGGATTACCAAAGGCAATTGCAGGACGAGAGCGAAGCGCGGCCAGACACGTTTATACGTTATACCTACCTCAAGTTTCTCAAAGAGAGCAAGATAGCTGTTGCATCGCTCCTAGGAGCGGATCCCGGGGAGGTTGTGCTTGTTCAGAACGCAACCACAGGAGTCAATACGGTACTTCGCAACATGGATTTTCAACCCAGCGATACAATTCTTCACTTCGGAACCATCTATGGTGCTTGCTCTAAGACAATTCAATCACTGTCAGAGGACCGTCCGCTCTCATCATGCGCAATTGACATAACGTATCCAATCGACGATGATGAGATTCTGCGGCGGTTCCGAAGTGCGATTGACGAGGTCAAGAGTCAGGGAAAGACGCCGAGACTCGCTATGTTCGACACAGTTCTCACATTCCCCGGAGCCCGATTTCCTTTCGAAAGGCTAGTGGCGACCTGCAAAGAGCTTGGGATTCTGAGTTTCATCGATGGAGCTCATGGTGTCGGTCACATCGATCTGACTCACCTCGGTGATGTTAGTCCGGACTTCTTCATCAGCAACTGTTACAAGTAAGCCATCCTGCAACATCACTTCGAAGGACATCGTAACGCTAACTTCAACTTAGGTGGTTGATGGTCCCGAGGGGATGTGCCGTCTTATATGTCCCATTCCGGAACCAACACATGATCTCCTCAACGGTGCCCACATCATGGGGCTACGAGACCAAAGAGGAGAGAGACAAGATGGATCATCGAGCCTATTTCTCCAGATTGTTTGACAAGATATCCACCACAGACAACACGCCTTACTGCTGTATACCCAAAGCACTCGACTTTCGGAATCGAGTCTGTGGTGGCGAGGCCAAGCTTCGCGAGTACTGCGAGGACCTTGCGCTTCGAGGCGGTGACAGAATGGCAAAGATTCTCGGCACAGAAGTCCTAGGCGCTTCGTCGGCACCATTTCGGCGGTGCTGCTTCGTCAATGTTCGGCTTCCTCTATCTCTAGAGGAAGTCAACGTCGACGCATCATCAGGACTAGGCATCGCAAAATGGATGCAAGAACTAACGCCAGCTGAGTATGAGAGTTACATCCCCATCAAGTTCTATGCAGGCGGCTTTTGGTGTAGAATCAGTGGTCAGGTGTACTTGACGTTGGAAGATTTCGAGTGGGCGGCAGAGACTTTGCTCCTAATCTGCAAGCGGGCGAAGGCTGGGGAGTGGAAATGAAGACTGAATACGAATCTTTCATGAATGGAAGACTTGTGGCTAAGATTACTGAGTTTCGAGGAGATCCCGTGACCTTCAGCTGTCTCAATAGATCATGACACTATGCTTCACAGATCTATGAATCCAGCCTAGTACTTATTCAGCTTCCGATAGAATATGATGATTTATGTCCAATGCTTATGAAAGCGCATGGTTGAAGCCAATAGTTGGTCAGTCACCTCACTTATTGTACGTATAAACATGAACAATGGAAGATTTCTTACTACTTCAATCATAAGTAACTATCTAGTCATGAAAAATAAATTGGTCAACAAGCTGTGCTATACCACCAACAGTCGCCAAAATGCTCACCCCCGCGGCGCCTAAGCCCGCCCGCCCAAGCGTGCCGAAACCTTTCGCCCAGGTTCCGACGGCGGTCGTAATTCCCCTGAACATCTGCGTGTTCTGGGCGACTGGTAAACCAGCCGAGAGGGTGCCGGTGATGATGTCCATCACCAGGTCCAGCGAGGTCACCTCGTTGTGGGTGCCATATGCCCAATTATCAGCGGCGTTGGTAGCAAAGTTCTGACCGACGTTGGCCCCTGGGTTCAAGCCTAGACGGAGTGTGAATTGCTTCATGGCTCGGATTGGGACGTGCCGCGCCGCCGGTAGCCTCAGCCAGCGCAGACGTCTTCGCTCCCTGTGCTCCTTCTGATGCTCCCGTCGCCCCATAGTTGGTGCTGGAATTGAACCGCGCAACGCGCGATGTTGATATCAATGGCTCGTCCGGGTCGACGAGCGATTCAGGCCTGCGCGCGGTGAGCCCGGCGGCTTCCTGCTCCTGTTCGACGAGCATGTTGGCATTGGCGCTGGTGTCCTCGGCGACCTCGGGGCCTACCACTTCGCCAAGGTCGGACACAGCGCTCCCAGCCGTCGGCCCCGCATCTGCCACCGCCGTCTCAAGGGAACCCGCCGCCGCCTTGGTCATGAAGCCCGCGCCACTCCGATACGCCCCCAATCCGCCTGTGATGGCGCCAGTTACGGCTCCCACGGCGCCTCCGATGGCCACCTCGACTGCCCAGCCCTTGAAGAAGGTCCCCGCGTCCGTGACGTTGCGGTGCTTCCACACGTACGTGACCGACGCGATGCCGGCGCCTAACAAGAAGCCTGACGCGCTGGAGGGCAAAAATTGATAAGTCAATATGGCTCGGCGGGGTCGAGAATCAGACAATGAAGAGAACAAAAACGAAACAAAATTACTTACGCGCCTAGCCCAATCGCAGCAAGGATTGGAAGATCCGCGCCCAACGTCACAACAGTGAGGACGATAAACGCCGCGATCAAGAGAACCCCGACCACGACCGCGACCCAGAACATCCATGAAAAATGCCCGGTTGGGTCCGTGTGGTTGACTGGATCGTTATTCTCAAAAGCTATGCGGTTCATGCCGTCCGGGTATAGCGTCTGCCGCAAGGTGAGGATGGAGTCCGGGCTGGTGAAGCGGCCTATAACGGGGTCGTACATGCGCGCCCCAAAGTCCAGCAGCTCGCTCAAATCGTCCATGATGGCTCCCTCGAACTCAGGAGAGCTGCGCGAAGTCTTGCTCCCGGTTGACTTGATCACCTGTCCGTAGTCGTCGTAAGTGATTTGCCTGATCAGACGCCTGTCAAAGCCGTCAAAGACGTGCGTTATACTCCCTTTGTGGTTCGTCATGGGCACTTGGAATTTCCGTGATTTTTGGTCCTCTATCGGAGGGGACCTAGTCATGGACGGCATTATTTTGGTCCAAACTGTGACTGCTGTCTGATCGGGGAATTTGAAGTCCTTTTTGACGGTTTTCGAGCCGTCCTTGCTGAGAATCTCCTGGTACTCTGGGCCCGCACTGATCTCGATGGGCCCGTCGGGGGCTTGTCGGACGACGGTGAAGAGGCTGTGGTCCGAGAACATGATTGATGAGCCCTTCGAGCTTGTCGCAGAGCTCATCTTGCCATTCTCGTCGTAGGTGTAGCTCATCTCGGGGCCATCACCATTCTTGCGCGTCGTCAGACGGCCGGCAGCGTCCGAAGTGGACCAGAACACCGTCTTGCCGTCCCGGGAGCCTTCGATTCGGGTGAGATCCTCGTGTGATGAGTAGCTCAGTAACATACCGTCCTTTTCTGTCAAATCTCCTGACGCGCTATACGAATACTTGCGGTTGACACCTTCGGCGCTGTGCGACGCGGCCAGCCTCCGATCGATGTAGTCGTACGCGATGGATGAGCCGCTGATGCTCTCGTGAAGGCTGCTTACCTGATCGAGCGCGTTATACACCAGGTTATGATCGACCAGCCTTTTACCATGATCCTGCCCCTGGCTATCCAGTAAGGCCATCCTGGTTGGCAGGCCCAGCTTGTCAAAGGCAACCTCGCGATGCCACCCGTCCTGAGCCAACTCGGAACCACGGATCGTCCAGGCTGTAGGTGTGCCTGACTTGCTGAATGCAGTCGTAGATGCAGATATGTCCCAGCCATTCTGCCCGCCGTCAACAGGAGCTGCCTGCATCTTCTTCTGGGCCAGCCTAAGTCCAGAGTAGGTCGACTTCACCGTCGTCGAATCGGGCAGCGTCTGGGTCAGGATGCGGCCCAGACTGTCGTACGTCCATGTGGAATTGAGCACTACAGATTTGGAACCATCCCAAAAGGGCACGTCACCCGTCAACTTGAGGGATTGACCCGTCCTACGCGCCGCTTCGTCGTAGGTGTATTCATACTCGAGCTTCCGCACCGCCCGCGATTTCCCGGCCTCGTTGACTGTGTCTGGACTGCACTCGATCGTAACGCCGGCGAGTAAGCCCTTTCCGGTGCCCGGCTCGTCGAAACGGAATCTCGTGGTCCGTATGACACCGCCGTTGACGTCTTTGCCGGCGATCTCGACCGTCCTTCCCATCGCGTCGTACGTTCGTTCCACAGCCTCTCCGAGAACGTTAACCTCCCTAACGAGACGGCCGCCCGCGTCGTAGGAGCGCGTCAGACCCCTCGTTCTCTTAAGCGGGTTCTGGTATGGGTCGTTAATCTCGACGACGGAACCTAGAGAGTTATACTTGCGCCGTTCGACACGGCCGCCCGCATCGGTGAGCTCGACAAGCCGGCCCCACCCATCATACTTCCATGTCTTGACCTGGCCGCTGCCGTTCCGTGATAGAACGATCTTGTCATTACCGTCCACGCTGGCAAACTCCTGGTAATCCGTCTCGACGATGGTCCTAGTGGCCATCGGCGAGGAAAAGTCCCCGATCAGCGCGGTGCTGACGTGGGTCGTACGGGTAGACCCGCCTCGTCTATAGCCGGGAACCCGTCGGTTGGGTTACTTGCCGGCCGTACGAGCAGCACAGCCCTGCCTAGGGCGTCAAAGACGTGTCAAAGACGGAGAGTGTCGAGCGGGAATTGTCAGGGGCCGTACTCCAGCCTGAGGGATCGGGCGCGTATAATATGCTCCTCACGAAGGGATTGTTTCCTGTGTCGTAATTACTTGAAGAACGCCCACGACCTGCCGGAGGCTACACCGCCGCCGCCGCCACTGTGTTCCGCATCCAACTGCTCCGCGCTGCGGCGGTTGCGGCCCTTGCAGTCCACAAAGTGGGTGGCAGGTAGCACCGGCATCGAAAACGGACCGGCGAACTTGGCCACGGATCTTGTGGGTGTCCGCTTCGAGGTCACCGGGTCAATGTTGGTCGTCGCGTATGAGGTCTCTTGGTTGCGACAAAGTCTTAGAGTCTCCAGTATCTTGCCGAAGTCTTGGCTTTTAACGCTCGTCCCGGCCGGTCCTCCGTCCCACTTGAAGTCGTCCGTGTCGGTCTTGGTGGCGGTAATCGCCTTGGTCCGCTCCCGGCCCCACTCGTCCACGGTGGTGATCTGGACGACGCCCTGCTCCGACATGTGGGCCGTCGCGGCGCCGTACCTTGCGTCCCACGCGTAAGCCGTCTTGAGGTTCACGCCTGTCCCTTTGAGCGTGGTTCCGACGACATACTGGGGGTATAGGCCATCATATGTCATCATCGTCGACAGACCGGTAGTGCTGGTCTCGGCCAGCAGATTGCCAAAAGCATTGTATTCGAGGGTGGATTCGACGAGCTGCTGAGAGTCAGAGGATCACAGACGCTGTGTCGTGATGAATCCTTGGTCATTGTACACGAACTGGGTCAGGCTGAGATCTGAGGACGAGTACGTGCTGAAGTCGTTGCTTCCCGCGTTGGAGGTAACTTTGCTGGCAGCGGTAAGGCCTTGAACGCCCGACCGAGTGGTGGGAGCGTACTGGCTAAATGTCCACCGCTCTGCGAGCCGCGTGCTATTCTTGGTGGGCTCGCTGATTTCCTACGAGTACTCTGTCGTCCTGTCCCTCGACTCGCCGTCATATCCAAACTCCGTCATCAAGAGGCGCTCCGCCACCTTGCCCAAATCATCAAAATAAGTCTTTGATCTCCATGTCTGTCTGACGATACAGCAGGCAGGTCTGCCGCCCCGCTTAATCGGCTTGAAGCCGTTGGAGACGGACTTGAGCAGGACCAGTTCGTCCCCAGCCCACGTTGACTGATGGCTCTTTCCTAAGCCCTTGATACGTTGTTGGAGCGCTGTTGGAGAGCTCCCGTACGTTTCGCGGGTCTTGACAAGCCCGCAAAGAGGCCATTCCTGGAAGTAGGTCGTGAGAGCACGTACGCCAGACACGGTCTCGGTACGCGAGACTTTCTCAAAGCTGGACCAACTTCTTCTCTTGACGTCGAAAGCACCGTTATAGTACTTGTACTCGTAGTTGGCCGAGTAAGGGAGCGGATTGACGCTGGCATCGTTGTCCTCGCGGACGCGTGTCACGAGGTAGGCCGGGATGGCGATACAGCGCACATTCTCATCGTTGTCGGCAGGACGGTACGTCTTGTAACTGACACCAGACTCGTATACCTCGGCCCGCGTGGCGGAGCCATATTCGATGGTAGACAGTAAACCAATCGGGCTGGTGACGGTTTGGAGGTGGTCAGAGAGCTCGACGTTGTTGTAGATGGGGCGGACGATGGCATGATTGTGGTAAAGAGAGTAGGCGAGCCATCCACAGCGCGACACCCCGTTCAGGTCGATAGGCCTCAGGTGTAGTTGGTCTGCGGGATCGCCCAGCGAGGCGCCGCCGGTCTGAACGAGAGGCTGTGAAAGGGCCTGGAAGGAGCCCAGCTGGCCGTCGCTGTTACCGACGGCCAAGATACAATTCCAAGTCTTATTGTCCGCATTCGGGTATGCGTACGCGATGCCACCGAAGCGGGCGCTGGAGGGGTTCACGGCGAAGACACGGCCCAGGTCCATCGGTTTCGCCGAGGTGACAACAGAGGTCTGCTCGGGCTGCCGCGCAAAGTTACCGTTGGAGTCGCGGAGAAAAGTCGTTGTGGTCATGGTGAAGGTGGCAGCGTCTCCGCCACCACAGCTGGCAACGCGTGTGGTGCAGACAACGATATCCAGACATCCGTCGCCGTTGATGTCGCAGACGGCCGTCGAGCGCCGCACCTTGTCCTCAGGCACGTAGGTCAGGATGGGCCGGGAGCTCAGGAGGCTGAAAGCTTGCCCTTCCAAATCGTGCTGCATAGCGCCCATGCTGATGACGTCCACCCATAAACATCGAGACCCAGCACCGGCGGAGCCTTCCATCACGTGGACGAGAGCTGGCGCGCAGTTCGTGTCGTTGTGGAAGACAAAAAGTTCGATGGTCAGCCCTCGTACCGGCCACGCAGGCGACTGGCGTGACGGAGGTACGGTGTTGGGCCGCATTATCATGGCGGCCACATCATAAAAGGTGCGGAGGGAGTAGGTGCGAGCACCATGATCAGTTATCATTTGCAAAATGTCTATTTGACCGTCACCAGTGGTGTCGGCGAGTAAGAAGCGGCTGCCGTGTTGCCAGGCGAAACCTGACGTGATGATGATGGGCTTATCAAACCCTTGGCCGTTGGCGCGCAGGACGGCAAAGGACAGAGCATTGCTTTGGGGATCCCTGTATGGAATGACGAGGTCTGAACGGCCATCATGGTTGAGATCAGCCACTAGAATATCGGGAATGTTGTTAACGTCTGTCCAGGGCAACTGGACTGGAGCATGCCCAGCGTCCATGCCGAGGTTCTTGTCGTGAGGCCACTGTAATTTTGGCGGTGTATACGTCTGAGAGGACTGCTGTTGGTGTGAAGGCATCGCGGCCAGGGTGCGCACTTGAAAGAGGCCGCTGGGACTAGGCAGCACTAGACAGACGAAGTCACTGTAGCCGCGACCTGTGGTGTCAAGAGGTAGGATAGCGGCAGGGGCGGCGCCAGTACGCAGGGTGAAGGCGCCGGCCGGATCCTGGGCGAAAGGCGATGTTCCAGTGGCCGAGTTATTAGCCGCAGTATATGTGAAGGTAGTCGGGGTAAGCGCATTGTTCTTTGAGCCGCGCTCGGTGATGGAGGCGAGAAGTGACTCGCCGCTGGCAGGAGACGACGTATATGTGAGATCAAAAGCCCTGGCCAAATCTGACTGTTGGGCGCCGTCAGGACTGCCAACACGAGCCTCGATACGCTCGAGCCTGTAGCCAATGTTGCGCAATTGACCATGACGGGCAACGACGGCACGATCTGGACGGCTGTTATAGAGGAAAGTCAGCCAACAACGGCCCTTGTAGCCGTTGCGGGGATTGCTGGTGTACTGGATGGTGTCGATGTACGACACTTGCGTAGACGACGTCGACGACGATTCTTTCTCTGACGGCGGACGAGAGCCTCCAGCAGCCAGACCAGGAGACTGAGAATAGTGATAGGTGACAGTGTTCCCATGGACGTCTGTAGTTCTGCTGAGACGCCATTGACCGGGCAGCAGCCCACTGTCCGGCGTGTTGCCGTACTCTTTCGTGCGGCCGTCGGTATCTAGGAGCTGGAAACCTCCAGATGCCAGAGATGTGACGACCTGGCCTGCATCGACCTGGGTACAGTACCGCGCGTCGCCCTTGCCATAGGAACCCTGGAAGCAGATGAGCTCTGCACCATCGACGGCTAGGCGCCAGGGAACGGGCACCTCCTTGCTGGCGAGGAAGTCTGGGTGCTGACGGATCGCACGAGATGGTGCAACTCTCTCGATGGAAGACAGGCCCGCTACTGCCCAGCGGAGGCCACAAGTGCCGGCAGCATCGCGGGTCTGTGAGTACTGCAGGCTGAGCTTGGGAGTGTTTCCCTGCCCGATACCAGAGGGGACGGTGATGGGGAAAGAATAGCTGGCGTGGCCATTGGGGTCAACGGCGAGAGCGCCTGAGGGTCTGTCCATGGGTTTCTGTAGAATGTACGGAATAGTACCGTAATTTAGTCCGACGATGTGCGACTGCTAGCTTCGTCTCTTCGATTGCTGTAATTCTGTAACAAGAGTAAGTGGTGTATGGTGAGTGTTTGACAGAGAGATTTCCAACTTAGATACTTACACGACGGTTGGATGAATAAGTCAGTTGACGAACAGACACAAAAGACGAATAAGAAACAATTAGTCTACCCCTTTGGACGTGAAGCTTTTCAGCTAAGCAGTGATACGCCACAATACATCCCTGTCTTCAGCCGTCGGAGCTAGGTTTTCAGCTCACTCGTGACGACTTCTGTCTTTTGACAAAAACACTCCGTGAAACTCGAGATGCCGTTCGTAGTGAAAAGCGCAGTATTGGTGAGAAATCACCTTTCTTTACCCCGTCAGCTCAGAGGCGAAACCACCCTGCGATTCTCATAATACTCTGTCTTAACCCGTTCAATATTGATTACCAACTAGTGAGGTAGTCGTCAGAATAGTAGTACAGACCAAATCACATTCGCCTTCACACACGCACACACACAAGATCTTGATCTTGGTCCGCAACAATTCACCATGTCTAGCGACGAGGCCACGGAAGCGCTGCTGCTCTGCTACTTGGACGGGAACAAAATCATCTTCAGATATCTCCGTCGCAACGCAGGAGCGGACAACAGCTCGAGCTTCTCGACCATCAGCAAGCCGTATCCGCTCAACTTGAGCAATGCGCTATACACCTTAACCCCGGGCTACCGGCCTTCGTGGCCCATGCCGGTCAACTACAACGAAAACATAGAGATAAAGTCCACAGGCGCTCTGACCTGGCAGGACGGTCTCGCCCAGCTGCAGATGGTCGTCGTCGTCAGCCACGGCCAGTAGAGCAACGATTCCATGAACCCGCGATACAAGGCCTTTGTGCTGGAGCTCACCCCGAGTCTAGACATCTGCTCCGTTGCGTGCCTGCCCGCGGGGAGCGAGACGGGATCAGCCACTGACTGAGCCAACCATCCCTGGTCCGCCGGGCTCAAGCAGGACGATTTCTCATTCATGTCGGCGAGCATCTTGACCGTCAATGGCCGGCTGTTCGCCACGGCCTCGCCCTTCTTCCAGCCCATCGAGCACAACCTGCTAGTTCCTGACGCCAACGATCCGTACCGCTCACTCTCTGATGACGAACGCAAGTGGCCCAGGGCCGACGACCGCTTTGCCGCACTCTGCTGCCGCAAAGACTCCGGTGACCGTGACTTCTCCGTGCCTGCGCGGGGCGGAGCCGCGTACTTGGCCGGCTACCGCCCGTCCGCCGACTGGTTCGCCTCGCCGATGCTGATTCCAAACGGACCACAAATAGACAACAGCGGAACAGGAAACGTCGGACCGCAGCAGCTCATATACCTCGACAACTCGACTACCGTCTTTGCCCTATTCACCCCGTTCCCATCTTACAACAACGGCTCATCCAGAGTCATCACGCTCGGCTTCACCAGCGCCACCGCCATGGGCAGGCTCACCTCCACCTCGGCGGACACGCGGTGATCCTTCCTCAACGTCACCTCAGGGAGCCACGGCTTCCGGGCGGCCTGTGCCGTCGCCGTCCAGCCACCCGACCCGTCCGCTCCGCCGATCCTTTACATCTTCGCCGTAGATTCCAACGACTACAACCAGGGCCGGCTGTGGTACATGACGCTGCCCCTGTGCGGCTACGACTCCATGTACGGCCACCCGAAGCTAGAGCCGGGAACCACCACCATCGACGTGGGCGATCAGGCAGCCAGCAACAGCCTGGAATGGGTAGACGACTTTTCTCGGCAGCCCATAAACGCTGAACCGACGAGGCCACTCAAGATCGTCCGCTACGGCAACTCTCTTGGTGTTTTCCACCAAGTCGGTGGTGAGATTCGGTTACTCAGACTCGACCTGCAAAAGGATGGCTCCCTCACCGATCCTGCCTTTCCTCAATTTAAACACATGTATCGTCAGTATACCAAAGTCACGTCTGAGAATTCGGCTATGCTGGTATCTGCATGCGCCATGCCCCTAAAGTTTTGCAACCGCTTTGTATAAGACCCCTGAATACGCTAGGCCACGGCAGGTGTGAGGTGGAGAATTGCAGATAAGCAGTTGATGGGGATCGTAAGCATCATTGACATCATGCTAAGGTAAGTTAGGTATCGTAAATCTAGGCGACCATACGGAAGTGTGTAGCCTGAGAGGAGAGAGCAGAGGGTGAGGGGAGAGAAAGAAACTGCAATCCACTAGACTATTTGATTCGTCAATCCTGTTATCTAATTCAGGTTGAGGATAAAACAGTATTTTCTCTGCTAGAGCTGGTGCCCTAACATTGCTCATACTCGCGCCGACCGAATCCCGCTTGACGTCGCTCTTACATCTCCTATACTTTCAAAGTGTCTACTCTTGAAGCAATTGTGACGCCTCTGACGGTCTGTTTGCTCTGATTATCTGCTTGTTCGGCTATTACTCACAACAGTGCCAGAGTGTTCTTAGCGATGCACTGCTCAACATGGTTAGAGATGCTGTGTAGATCAGGCATGGTGAGCCCGTTTCTTGGGTAGCTAGATGGAATCCTGGGCTGACGGGCGCTTATGATTGACTGCCCTTTGTTATTATTGCGATATTGGGGGCCTAGTCCAAGTTGGTTCGACTTCAACCCCCGATAACTCGCGATTAAGCATGTTTATGGAAAGATTTCGTAGCTGTGACACCAAGGAGTGTCCTTCTTTTCTTCTATTATCTCGGAAAGGCTAATTCTGGATCATAGCAATGTTCTCTACTTGCCTCCATCGACAATTTCTTCTCCGCAGTGATGCCCGCACGAGCTCAAACTAGCTACTGGCAAATTCAATCCTCTTGCTCTTGTTCAATTTGAAAACGCTTGACAGCTTCAAGCGCTATGTCCAGCCTCCTTTTCTCATCGCGAGTCCGTGCCTTCTTACGCGCCGACTTTTCATCCTCTTTCAGCAAGTCTTGTATACCAGCATCATCCAGGTCATTCGGGATCAGGTCTTGAATCTTTCGCATGAAGTGGCGCTCAACCACCTGAGTGACAACATTCGAGATGAAGATATCTCGAGCAATCTTGGGAGCATCAGCAGCTTTCATGACAGCGATTAGAAGAAGAGAGATCTTACAAGGTAATGAGACTTCATCGCACTCAGGAACTCCTCTGCTACGTGGTCCTGATAGTTCTGTTGCCGTGAGAGTCCGCGCTGCTCTGCCAGAATCTCCGGGTCGAGCGTGCTGGGATTATCACCTTTGAGACGACCGCGTAATACACGCGAAGTGTAGTGAAACTCGGTTCGCTGTCGGTGAGTTTTCTGGTCTACAAGAAAGCGCTTATCGAGATTTTTCGGCCAATCCCTTCTGTCCTCCTCCAACAAATAAAGCTCATCCGAGGCCTTCTTTTTGGCTTTCGCCAAGTTTGGTATGATGTGGTCCCTGATATAATTACGCGCGACAACTTCGTCGTTTTCGAACCCGTCATGCAGAGTTCCGTCGTCCAAAGCCCTGTTTCTGCCAGTCTTGGTAAAGTTGAGTTGTGTAACGGCCTCAAAGTAATCCTTGCAACAATTACAGACGCTGTCGATGTGCTGTTCCGCGATCTTGTGCCAGGGCTCGGACATCCTCCAAAACAGCTTAGCGATGCGGTCAGGCGAAAATAGACCATCGAGCTCCGTTCCACCAGTGTTCTTGATCATGGTTGAGGACATTCGTATCTCGTGTTCCAAGTCGACAGGATCAAAGCCTGGAAGATCAGAACGCGAGTCCTATGGAGGCGTCGGCGGCATAAGATCCTCGTGGGGGTCCTTTGGAGGAAGCCCTGCATGTGATCGCCACAAATGGCCATTGCTATTCATCTCATCTCGGAAGCGATGGTCCTGTTCTCGAACCCGAGAACGTAGAAGAACAGAACTAGTGTCATCGAACTGGTTTGTATCATAGGCGTAAGTTCCTTTGGCTTGTTCTCGAGCAGCTTCTCTCAGACGCTGAGTTGCCTTCTGGAATGCCTGAGCCAGTGACTTGGGCTGTGGTTCCTCTTTGATACAGGTGAACTTCGGTTTTCCAAGCTCTGTCTCAAGCTTTCCTCTAAGCTGAGGGATTTTATCCTCTGCAGCTGAGAAGTATATCTCCCTTAGCCTAGATCGAAGCTTTTGGATTCCAAGCTGTCTCTGGGGAATACTCGTCCATGGCGCTTGCTCGAACAAGCGCGCTTCAACACTGTCTCTATCTTCCGCAGAATCGGGCCCGAGATTGCGAATAAGGTGCCATTCTAACCGGTTCAGCGTGGTAATGTTACCCTTCATAATTTTCACAACAGTATTGGGGTTTTCCGCGACATCTGGCTTCGTCATGATACCGACGGTTCGATGGCCTTCAGGATCGTATTCCTGGCAAAGGGTGAGAACAATGGCGTTGTCGAGTCGTTGTTTCCCGGAACCACGGCGAGGATTGTAGATTGCTTCATCGCCATATACGATCGCACCATGTCCTCGATCTTCTTCACGATGCCGCTGCGGGTGCTGTCGAACTTGATGAGGCCGGGGAGATCAACCAGTTGAAGCGCTCTCCTGTTCGGGCCGGTGATTCGGATAGATAGAACATCATCCTTGATAGGGGACGTCTCCGTGGATCCATCGCATATCGCATTGTGGGCATCTGTGATGCATTGATTGAGAAGATCTCGGGAATCCCTCCCATCCGCAGACTCTTTTCTTGAAAATTCTTTCAATCTCTCCTTTTCTGCCGCGTTTCGGTGCTCCGCAGGCTCAATATCTACCTCTATGAGTGTAGTTTTGCTGTAGTCCAATCTCACTTTGGTAACATACCGAGTACATAGGTTCTCCCCAGAGGGAAAGGGAATCCCTGTGATGGCACCCAGTACGGAGCTCTTACCGGAGGACTGATCGCCGCAAACGATAAGTTGTGGAAGGGGTATCGTGCGATCTATTTTCAGGGCCCGTAATTGATCGATAATGTCAATGATGCGACTTTGTCTGTCGTTCTCGGGGTCAAGGAAAGATGCCGTCAAATGGCTGGCTGTAATATTGCTACGCCCGGTAGGCTGGTAGCTCTCCGTTGGCTGTGACATGTTGGGTCTATTGAGATGATTCGCCTTGAAAGAGGGAGCGTCTGGTTCTGTGATCATATATCAAAGTGGGTTTATAGCATCATGGTGTCCTAAAGACAACCTGATATGGCTCGCAAATCCCAACATACGCATTCGACGCAATCAGGCTGTCGCCACCCTCCCCTAGACGCCACTTACCTGACGTATTCTCGGGTTTCTCCTACACACCAACTTCCCCATGAGGAAATCTGCCCGTTCCCTTTCCGAAATTTATGGGGGTCTCGTGGTTGCCTACACTTGGCACGTAAGCAAACATTACAGAAAAGCGCAACAGGGAGCCTAGCGAATATGTGCCAACGTAGCCGCTTTGGGTCCTTATTTCGATTGAGACAACTCTGCTCTTCTTCTCATTGGCAGCTTCCTCACCGAGTGGTACTTATGTTTCAGTATTCTGAGGCTATGTATCACAGCCTGTAAGTTGTGTAACGCGGTATACGTTCAGCCTGCCTCTGGCGACTTACATGTAGGCAACCAATATTAACTTTATTTTTGTCATAGTATCTCCTTTGAGTCAAGACAACCTGGAATCATCTCAAGGTGTTCCTGTCGCTACGCTCTTCACACATAATTACCAACAGGATATTCCATCATCTTAAAGCAACGTTGTGGAATCCTTTAGTGAGGAAAACCTGCCTCCTACCTCTCGTCAACCTGCACGATACTGATCTAGTAAGCTATCAACGCCAATATGGACCCAATTACTATTGTCACTGTGGTTATTGGGGCAGTGGGTACCTTGATGACTGCTTTCAAAGAACTGGAAGAAATCAGATCGACTCGACAGAAAAGAAAAGCAGATCTGGATGCCGGTGGGCCCGCACCACATGCAGAATTCGAGGCCTCCATTCAGATCTCCAGCCTTGCTAACCGTCTCTTTTCGCGCCTCAGTCGGAAAGACTCTTCTTCGAAGAACGGTAGGATGTTCCTGAACTTGACTTACGAGCCATTGGGGCTAACTCGATTGATCAGAGAAATTCATCAAAGAGCTTCTTGAACTGCGAAAGGACATAGCGACTTTGCTAGATGAACTAGGCAATGCCACTCTTTCGAATGTCTCGATTTGCCCCCAAATACAGACGAATACAACGGCGATTGAAGTTGATGACAAGAATATTGACTCGTGGACGAAGAGGGCGATGAAAATCAAGCGTAAGCTCGAGAACCTGATTACTTCCGCGGAGCCGGTCAACGGAGAACCCGGAATCATACCACTCGAACATTCGGGTATTCTCAGTAATCGTCAATTTTGTTACGGCGCAATATTATGCCAGCACGGGCAAGCCGACGCAAAAGTCCTGGCAACCCAAAACAACAAAGGCGATCATTCATCGCCACAGTCGCAGTTCATCTGCATACACTGCAATCTAGAGGTTGGCTACTACGATTCCGTGGGAGTAAGCCGAAAGGGAGCTCCATTTAAGACCTCAGACCTACTTGTGTCTTGTCATCTCATGGCTTGCGATAAGAATCTGCGAGCGTTCTACCGATGCCTGGCTTGTCATCTTGCCCAGAAGCAGCTAGACTTTTACACCGCGGAAGCCTTGACAGCTCACATGGAAACGCATCCCGGCTTCTCTTTCCTTCCGCCAAAGCTCGAAGCTGCTAGTGAACAGGCTGTCAAGCAGGACATGGAGCTGTTCCTGAAAGCGGAAGTTCCCAGCCTCCAATCTACTGCCAACACGCAGAGTTCGCTTTCAGACGAAGATGGAACAACCGCGATTTCTTCGCAAAGCTCGCACATCTTTGGAGAGCGACCTATGTCATTTGGATTTGGAAATTCGGACGATATCCCAGTGGAGGAGCGTATATTCAGTCCCATGACACCAGCGTCGCCAACATTTAGTTCACTTTCAATGGGCCACCCTCAAGATGAAGAACCCAACATTGTATTGCAGCATTCGAACAGCCAGAATGCTGCTACCAATCTACTTCCTCCTCGCCATGCACCCCCTCCGATTCCAGATCCCAGGCGATCTGGCGTAGCAAGCCCGCGAACTGCAAAGCCTACACCCATGTCCCAACACCTTCCTAGGCACGATGATATGCATAGACGGCGACAGTTCAACGCTGATTCTGGCCCTGGAGTAGAGGCTAGTTACTCCAATGGTACCAGCGGCCAGTCAGCCCGTATTTGACGTGGACTCGAGGCATGTTCGATGCCCCCGCTTTTGGTATTTGAATACATCATTGGCGATTTTATAAGGACGATTTCGGGAGTCTTGAGGGTGTTTTGATGCTCAGCTGCGGTTCCAAATGAGGTAGCATATTATGGGGGAGGCGGAATTGTCATAATTATTTAGGTTATACCGATCGTCTTATACGTTTAGACTATTTCTTCCAGGCGTGTATACCCTGGTAATGGGAATAGAGGATCTTGAAGATCTCTTCGCTTATTTTCCTCCATCTCGACCCATTTTCTACGCCTTTTGCTCTTGTGATGGTTCTCCTGGGAAGTACCTTATCAAGTAACATTTCCTACCCGATAGACAAGATGTTGAACTCCGTATTATCAAAGTCAATGCGAGCCCGGAGTCAATGAACAATAACACCTAAAGACGAATAAAGCTGCATAAACCCCTAGAACCAAGCTTGCAACATCGTGGAAAGGTGCAAGTGGAGAGCCGGCGTGGACTTCCTCACCAAGCTCCTCTAAGGCCGAGTCCCACAATCAGCCACAACTCATGGCAACAAGTCTCCCCGAATCTAGTTCCATCTATCAATGTTCACTATGAAGTACTGGTTTTTCAATTAAGGCTTCTTCACTCGACATTAACAATGCTTGTCTACCTCGTGGAGGGTTACTTTGGGGGGAAGGTTGATGTGTACTAGACAGCGCCATTTTCTTCATCTTTACCATTGAAACCAATGAAACCAATGAAACAGCCTTGAGGGCGGAAGTGAAAGAAACACTATCAGGAGTATCTAAATGAATCGACGAAGAGTAACCTTATCACTTGATTGTTTTTTCTGTCATAATCCATCTTGTTCCCCACCACGACCGCCCGCAAGTGGACCACGATAGCTTCACAAAAGATCAAAAACATACAACACCAGGTATTCGCTGGTCGTCACCGACCCAACTACTAATCCGGCCCTCATTGGCTTATCTATGGGAGAGCGGACGGGATCCCGAGTTCTCCAATGGGTATGGTCGTATGTGAAGGTATCGTGAGATCCTAGGGGTTGTGAAGGGCGAGGGACGATACTGGGAGGCTTATGAGCTCTCTCAACATGTACTTTTCTCCATTCCATTTTATTGATAGCGCATTCTCGGATATTTCAATAAAGTTCTTTCAAGTATAGATAGAACTCATCTACCGCGGACTGTTGTGAGGGGGCTGGCCCAGACGTGATGATGACTTGTCGAGGTCCTTGCCCTGACTTGTCTCGAAGTGCTATCGTAGCCCAACTTCCCACCGATTTTGCTGATGTTTGGGATTTGGAGCCTTTCCCATCACTCTCTAGCATTGATCATCCTGTAGGTGTCTGCCTCTGTATCATTGTTGTTAATGTTGACAGCCTCTTCGCGCTTCTCATCTGCCGCGGCCGCTTCTGCTGACGCCAGTATCAGAGAGTTCGATGCCATGTGCTTTCCAACACCATTATAGACGCTGATTCCTTCATTTGTGGTGTTGTCTGGGAATATAGCGGCCATGTTCAGATATTCGTTGAATGGATAGCTGCATGATTGGTTGAGGCCTCCCTCGATATAGTTCGAATTAGCCTCTTGCCATGGTGTCGATGAAGGGATCTGATCATCCAATAACGCCCGAGTGAAGTCGTATTCATCGATTGAATCGAACGTAGTGAAATATGAGGCAATGCCTGCGGTGTCATCAATTCCGTCTGTACCGGCCTCTATTGCCAGTGACGCGACAGATGCGTCTTGGGGAATCGACGAAGTGAGGTCCTCACCGCATCTCGCGTCAGATGGGTTTTTCATAGTCGACGAGGATATGGCTTTTGTTGATGCAATACAGGCGTCTCCTGGATGCTGCGGGCCGTGGCCTTTGTTCGTCTCGGCGATCTTCTTTCGAGCAAATGTCTTGAAGAGCCCCAGCATTGCGCGCCTTTTGGCGCTGTCGAGGGAGACTTCAGCGATTTCCTCTAGTTTTGAGAAGAACTGCTCGTCAATGCCAGAGTCATTGTCTTGCGTGAATAGCTCCTGAAGGTCACTGTGCTCTACAATGCTGTCATCGTACTGGATCCTGTAAACTGTAGTAAGGGTCAGTAACTCTCATCAACCCTGGAAATGTCGACAAATGAACCTGGACCGACGTACAAGGGTCAGGAATAACATTGCAATCCGGGAACAGTATGCGGTAGATATTCCTCCAATTCTCTTCCTCCGATCTATCGCCTCGTGCCCGCTTCCGACTTTTCAATTTCTTCAGCTGGTCTTTGTCGAAACCTTCGATGGAGACATTTTTGATGAGATTGCAGGGTTCCTCTAGCTGAGCATGCTCTGCCGAGTCAGCTTGATTTTCAAAGACTCTTCCGCAACGTAGGCAGTTGGGCTTTTGCTCATGGTGTCTATATAGATGCTCTCTAAAGGTGGGATTATCGATCATTAGTCTTGGCGAGCTTCCAGTTGTAGAGAGAAACTTACTTTAGTCTGTGAGTGGAGGGGAAGTAGCGAGTGCACGACAGAGTTTCTCCGTAAACCGCCGGATTGAACTTGAGGTAAGGACAAGCTAACTTTGTTCCCTTGGAATGCAATGCTGTTGGTGGTCTGGTCAGGTCGGGGTGCGACGGCCTAGAGAAGCGAGTATCTCTGGATGGCCTAGGCGTCTGGGAAAGGTCATCCTTCGTGCGTATCTGTTCCCTGCCAATCTCATCGAATGATTCACGTAGCTTGATATTGGCGTTGCTATCTGTTGAAAGTTCGGACGATTTTGTGAGCTGAATCGAATCGTCCTGTGCAGAGCCTGTATTTCTCTCGGGCCCTCGGGGTTCACTTTGCGTTTCTCTTGCGCCTCGATCGCGGCTGAGCATACCAATGATTTTGTACGGAATGGCAGAACTCTTGTCGTCTTTCTTCGCTTCCTGTAGGCGAGAGGTAGCCGTATTTTTGGGCCTGCTATAAGGAACAGGCACGAACTTGGTTCCATCGTCGTTCGGAGAGAAGCCAGACTTGTCTCTGCTCATTGTACAGTTCCTAGGCTTTTCCGGTTTCGCCGCGAATGTCTTGGACCTTTTCGATTCGCCGAGTGTCATCTGTCCAAATTGTTCTGAAAGCGCGACTGCCTTGTAGGCCTCGAGGTCATGTTGCTGATGGCTGTGCTTACTCGTTGTAGAGACGGAAGCTTCCGATACAAGTTTGACTGAAGCATCGCATTCTCCTCCTGGTCCTCCTGATTTCCCCCCTCCTCTCCATCCCTCATTCTCGTCATCTTCATCATCTTCATCATCTTCATCATCTTCATCATCTTCATCATCTTCATCATCTTCATCATCTTCATCATCTTCATCATCTTCATCATCTTCATCATCTTCATCATCTTCATCATCTTCATCATCTTCATCATCTTCATCATCTTCATCATCTTCATCATCTTCATCATCTTCATCATCTTCATCATCTTCATCATCTTCATCATCTTCATCATCTTCATCATCTTCATCATCTTCATCATCTTCATCATCTTCATCATCTTCATCATCTTCATCATCTTCATCATCTTCATCATCTTCATCATCTTCATCATCTTCATCATCTTCATCATCTTCATCATCTTCATCATCTTCATCATCTTCATCATCATCTTCTTCATCATCTTCATCTTCTTCATCCTCTTCAAAAATACATATAACATAACCCGCGTCGCCTGTCCAAATCCAGTCGTTGATAGATGGGATCAAGAGATCGAAACCGTAGCTTTCCTCAGCACTTGGCTCGGCCGTCGGGCGGGATCTGACCCATGTCGATTTTTCCTCATCAACGGTACGATTGTCGGGAACATATTCAGCAGAACTCTGAGTTGGAGTAGACATGCTGCCCGAACTGTATTCACGGTTTGACCAGGCTCGATAGCCCCTAAAAAGATGAAAGAGGTTGACACGATAACTGGATGGTAATTATGATAGATAGAATCGGTTTCGGGGCGTACAAGCTCTTATTTGGGACGCAGAATGCCAAAACGCTGTTTTGCGAAATTTCGCAAATCTCTTTCGCTGCACAAGGCATTCTCGATCATTGCTGCCTAATAGTTGGCTGTCGCGGTGTCGAAGACTAGGGGATGCTGTCCGCCAGTTGGACGAGATGCACCAAGCAACGTCAGTCATGCATGTGCTTGAGATGTACGTCTACGTCATGTCACTGCTGCCGGACCATAGTAGTCACATGCCTGGACACTTTGTCATTGTCGGGAGATATGAATGCTTTGGGAGAATTGAGACAGCTTCCTATCCAGAATTCTCAGACATATGTAGGAAGCTAGTCATAGGGGCAGCGTGAACTCCTTGCCATCGGTTATTTAATGATTATTAAGCCTTCCTAAGATGCGTCATCCCGACCTACAACATGTTGGACCTGCGTCGGGATAGTACTAACTCCATCATAAGCATTCATAGGCTCAACCTCAACTGTCTTGCCTTGAGCTTGGGCGAGGCCTCCTGGCAAAGCAGTCCCAGTACTCAGTATGTCGTTCAGCCACGCATCTCCGTCGTCATTGGCAAACACTGCATCCCAGGCCGACCAGCAAGCAATATCCGAGTCCATTTCGAGACCAAAGCCTTGGAAATCCCACGGAATGCCGCGGGGCTCCGTAACCTCTACTGACTGTAAAGAACTCAAAGCCATCACCGGATCCGTTGGCGGCACTCCGATTTGCGTTGCTTCATTCAAATGGTAGACCTCGTCTTGCTTCCCTTCTAGCATCTCGTGCGGTTTATCATCAGCAACCGTACGCAGTAGCTTCTCGCTCGGAGCTCGAGCGGAACGTGCAGTCCCAGAGGACTTTTCAATCTGACTAGACTTCGAGGGAAGTGTGATAGCCCTGTTCTTGATGTCTCTCTCCGCGGACTGGCGGAGCATCTCAACGGCGAACCCCCTGAACACGTTCAAAAGCTTCCTCCGCTTCTTCTTAGTCAAACGCCCACCAACAGCTTCCTCCAGTTTCGAGGACATCTCCTCCTCCACTGGTGATGGGATGTCTCTGGTGAAAATGCTTTCGACATCATCTTGCTCTCTCTTTGGTGTCTGATCTGTGGCGGTTTGGTCATTGACAGGTGTCTTGTAGACTAACACCATTGTCAGCAAGTTCCCACAGCTACAGCCGGTGCAGGGTACTTACATGGATCTGGTACGTCTTTATGATTGGGAAAGAGGATTATGAAGATCTCTCTCCACTTATCCTCTTCCGTCTTGACGCCCTTTCTACGCTTCTTGCTCTTGAGTAGCTTCTCTTGAGCGGCGTCAAATCCCTCGACCTGGCCTTCGCCTTGGATGACGTCGCACAGAGCCTTCGCTTTCAGGTGGACTCCAACTTCGGCCTCGGTTTTGAAGATACTTCGACAACGCGGGCAGTTGGGCTTTTGTCTGTGAGTTCTGTGCAAATGCTCTCTACGTACACATACCGGATCAGTCATAGGAGCCCAAGTGGGTATGCAATACAACTACAAAGACCGGGGAGTGATAGCGACTCACTTCAAGCGATGTGTAGTAGGAAACGCCGCCCCTCGGCAGCCCCTTCTCTGGCTGTATTTCGACGGGTCGTATTTGAGATAAGGGCAGGCCATAAGTAGGGAGTGTGAAGGCTTGGGCGGCGCACCCGAACCCAATCGCACTTCCTCCTCCTCAAGATGGACTGTAGAAAACTCTGGCTCCCCGTAAGGATCCCAGCCAGTGACGGGAGACGTGGGTGGGGGCTCGAATTCGCTGTCTGAAGGCAAACCCTTCTCGTCGGAAGCATAGACTCTCTTCCCCTTCCTCAACCACAGAGACGCACGTTTTGGTCGGGTCGGAGGCGGTTTCCAGGGGTTGGGTCGAGAGTAGAACGCTGCGGGCGATTGACAACCGGAGGCCTGAGCCACACCGTACAGTGCAGGCTGCACGGAGTAACCGGCGCGTTCAGATGCAAACTCCGTAATATGCGCCGGTGCCGGATCCGGAGCCTGAGCCGGGGCTTGCTGTGACGCAATCTGCTGTTGTGGAGGCGGCGCCGCCTGTTCGTGAAATCCCAGGTCCGAGAACTGTTGCGTCAAGGCCGCCGTGGGATCGAAGCCCGGGCCGGAGGCGGCAGCCCACATTGCGGCATCCATACCATTGGGCGATTACCTCAAAATAGAGAAATTTGCAGAAACTTGCAAAGATGGCGTCATAGGATTGTCTACCTCCGACGACGGATGTGATGTCTTCTGGAATGGGAAGAGAGTGCGAAAGCGCGGGAGCCTTGCTTAAATGAGGCTCGCAGAATATCGCAACTTCGCAATTCCCGTCTTACGCAAAAAGAGGCAGACCAATGATAAACTCCAGCTCTAGACATGGCTTCTGCAAGTCTGTGGCAGGCTTGAGTGACGTCGTCCCCGCACACACACATCCAGTCAGGCGAACCACGAGGCGGCCTGACTTGACCAAGTCAGCTCAGCTCAGCTGAATATGCAGTGGCAAAAGTAGAACAGGATCCTGATAGCCCAGCAGCAATGTCTTCGACGCGGATTCGCCTTCTGGGTCGAATGAAGACCCCTACATGGAGCCTCGAACTCGTTCCCCCAGTCGTTTAACATATGGTGCACACGACAACGGCATTCTATCCTAGACAATGAGAGACACGGATCCAGGGCTCTGAGATCCAATGTTTGCCCTCATACAACGGAGTCAGAGTTGCAGTGATGAACAGGCGGCGCGGACAGCTCTGCGATGTCAACATTCAGCTCGGCGGCCACCCAGCATTTGGAGAGTCTTCATCCTTGATCGGTGTCTTTGCCATCTTCTCTTCACGGTATACCTCAAGAAGCGCAGCAAGTTGTTAGTCGGGATGTAGTAATCAGATGGGTTGTAGTAAGCCCAGGATCCCACAATTCATCCAAGTGTCCTAGATATCGCGCGACAAATACGAGGAAGTCTTCTCGAATAGGATAGTATCAAGTAATGGCTGACCCCGCCCAGCCAACTGCCGGATTACTCGCTCTTTCTCTTCCAAATTCCTTAGTCTTTGCTATTTATTGTCGTGGTATGAATAGATATGAACTACGTAGTGTTAAGATTTACTCCAGCGAGGCGTGCTTTAAGAAGCGTGAACCGAACTCTTCGCATTCTAATTCCGATCATCTTTGCTGAGAATTGACTTATCTGAAAAAATCATTAAGACGCAAAAATATCGGTAGGTATCTAAAGAGTAAAACCTCCAAAAAGAAGCATGACTGAACTTCGGCATGGGAGACTCGGCACTTGGAACATCCAACTTTTCCCAGCGTCAAAAAGGCTCCGCCATCACGACCGAACACACTCTCAATCAAGGGATACCAAAGTTCGAACGCGTAAATGAGTGTCTCACCCGGGTTATGAGCGTATGAGCCAACCAATAGCCTGATCTCAGGAATGCGCATCACCCAAAAGCAGGCAAGGCAAGGCCGGAGCTTTGGCCCGACATGCCCCGCCATCACCCCGCCACCAACCATCACGCATCCAAAATTACATTTTATCCAGCGACAGCCGGTCACGGAGCTCCCAGCCATCTACCGGTATATCACGACGCTTTCGCATTCCAGACAATGATACTAGCTAAGTACGCGCATAATACGTGTCCCCACGTACTCGATGCAAATGAATTATCTCCTACAAAAAGTCTTTTCTACAAATACAGGGCTCCTCCCCCGTTCCCTTGCCCCAAACGCCGTGAGAGCTCTGCACCTCTTTGCTCATGCCTCCATCTCGAATATCACTTCTTCTTTCCACTTCTTCCCTTTCCCAAGTCTGGAGCCTCTCGCGTGTAATCTTGCCGCTGGGGCCTGGTTGGATGCGAGTACTCGGTCTGAACGGGGGACATGTTGAGAATACGCGTCTCTGATGCCGGGGACATGGACGATTAATCACTCGAAGAAGTGTTTGGGTGGAGAGCCGGGAGGAAAGAACCATGATTGATTGCCGCCAGAATGAAGAAAAAGAAGTATGCCATGCCATGCCATGCTGACCCTTTCATGCCCGACCGTCCGTCGCCGTGTCAAACCATCTCTCAGAATCGTTTCTTTTTTTATCGCAAAGGTCTCCGAAAAAAGGTATGATGCCAAACAGAAAAATTAGTCGTCAAGTCGCGCTTGAGAAACTCCAACAATGTCTAGGCGAACAGTCCGTATCTGCCACAGGTGTGTTCTTCTAGTTCTGTGCTAACGATGAGGGACGAATCAGGCCATGGTGAAACGTCCGTCAAGTCTGCCTGGCCGATAGGGGCTCCCATGACGTGTAAGTCGTCAAAGCCGCCTCGAGGTCGTATGTTCGTGCAGGAGAATTATGTATACTTGTTCAGTGCCACCATTGGCAAGGGTGTAATGAGTGCTCGCAAGAGGCGAAAGAAAGCCTTGCAAGAGCCAAGTTCGACGAAACGGGATAATACCGTGCCATCAAGTAGAGCGCGCGTAGTAAAACGAGCTCTGGCACCCTTATTTCCTTCAGGGGCAATGCGAGTCGCGTAATCACTTCGAGTATCGATGGTTTTTGAGAGCTTAGTGCTTTCGAGCCGGAGAATACTAGTGTCGGCCCACTTGACTGTTGCTGGCGCGACTGCGCTCGTCCTCTTCCATGACATCGCTCAGGCGAGTCGGGTGATGATGTCTGGGGACAGTCTCCCAACCTGGAGCTGCATAGCCCGAGCCGGAATAGTCTTGAGCGGTGCCCTGCTGCTGTTCTCCAGCGGACGTGGTGGGGGTCTGCAGGTAGCCGGCACTGGGAGGGTTCGTCGCGGGGGTTTCATACTCTTCTAAACCTTCGTCAGAAACTGGGGAAGGTGGAGCAATGAAGGGAACCTTGTTTCCCTGGGAATCGCGAACGAAGTGGCCTTGCGCATCGATAGCGTACTCACCTTCAGAGTATCCACCCTCGGAACCAGGACCTGTGTAAGTAACGCCCTCCTGACCTGGGCTGCCGGATGGATAGAGGTTGCTGGAAGTGGCGGGGATGGATTGACCACCAGGAGCTTGAGAATAATCGCCAGCGTAGCCGGCCTGCTGGCCGCTGTATTGGTCACGGGAGCTGCCATGGCGACTAGGGACACCCTGCGTCATCGGGACGACCTGGACGCCGCCGAGGATGGTAGGCTGACCGCTCTGCAGAGACTGGGTCCGCTCACGTTCTTCATGCTCACGGCGACCGAGCTCCTCCCAGGCGCGGCGAGCCTCTTCTTTGGAGATCTGGAGCTCCTTCTTCATCTCTCTGACGCGTTCATCGTTGGCGGAGTGCTGACGCTCCTTCTGGATAGCTGCCTGAACAGCGTTCTCTCTAGCACGTCTCTCCTCGTCAAGGGCCGACTCTAACATGGCGTTGACCTCCTGAGCACGCTCCAGCTCAGCCCGGGTCTCGAAGAACCATCGCTGGAACTTGCGTTCGGAACTAGCGCGGAGGCGCTGCAACTCGACGACGGCGTGGAAAAGATTAGCACCGGCCGCAGTAAGGTCGGTGACCTGGCGAGAGAGCGCTTGGTTGACAGGATCACGCTCAATGTCCTGGTTGTTCTGTTCAAGTCGACGTATCCAGAAGCTAGTGAGACCCTCCCAGTGAGCGGATAAGGTTTCCCAACGCTCAAACGCGTGGGGAAATGAGTTTCTGGGTCTCGATCCCGTAGCGCCAGACTCCTGGGCTCCTTGAACAGAGGTGTTAGGAGGCTGTTGAGTGGTGCTGGCCTGAGGGGCTGTGCTGTAGGGTTGCTGGCCGGGCTGAGATGTTGACGCCGTTCGACCGTGTCGAGTCTGCGGCTGAGTCGTTGTAGGCTGGCGGGAACTTCCTCCCGGGTTGGTTCGGGTTTGTGGGGTATCAGTAGCTACGGGTCGCCGGTGAGAGGTGGGGTCCTGCTGGGGCACGTTGGCGGCGCCACCAGCTGTTCCTCCTCCGGCAGCGCCAGTAGCGGCGGTGGCAGCTCGGCGCTCCGCATTCCGTCTCTGCGTCTCCTCCAATAGGCGAGCTTCCTGCTCGGCTCGTTGTCTCTCCGACTGCATCTGTTCCTGTTCGGCTCTCTGACGGGCTGCCTCTCTAGCAGCGCGCTCCTGCATGATCATTCTAGGACCACGTATTCCAGAGGGCGAGCTGGTAGGGTTAGGAGCGCCAGTGGTGCGGTGGCGGGTGGAAGCCGAGGCATTACCGTTGGAAGCGGCAGTGCCGCCTCCGATCAGGTCAGCCATTGATGCGCCTTCTTCGATTTCGTCGGGCGTGAACAAGTTGGGTTGCCGAAGCGCTTCCTCAAGAGCAAAGAGGATGGCACTGCGAGTATTTCTGGAAACGCGATGAGGTCGGTGAGACTCGCGTCGGGTATGAGAAGACGATGATGCTGGGTCTCGGAATAACAGAGCTTCGTCGGAGGACTCTTCGTCAAAGCCCTCGCTCAGATCCTGTGAGAGAACTCTTCGCGCACGTGAGTTTCGTCGGTCAAGGGGAGCGACGGTTCGAGGGTAATCGTAATTAAAAGTCGGGGCAGGCGCAAGTGCTGGCGCGGGCGCAGGCGCGGTCGCAATCTGTGGTTTGGGACTGAAACCTACTGATGTGGCCTCGATGTGGACCTGGCGCGCAGACTGCGGTGTAGGACTTGGGGTCGCAACGGATCGCGAAGTACGTCGAAGGGTGCGGTGGGAGAGTTGGGACGAAGCTGGAGTGGTCGGTCTCTCAGCAACTGGATCTGGGGTGATGTTTCGCGCTTGCCTCCGCTGCTGCTGGCGCTGCGCAGAAGGGGTCGTGATTTCGTGAATTTCGTGACGGTCGTTAGAAGGCGTGGGGGGAGTTTGGTCTGTCAATTTGACGATGTTGCCCAGGTCACTGCTCTGACCTGTTGGGGTAGACAAGTTGGAATTATCACCACCTTGGTGGTGATTCGGAATTGAGGAACGAGGTAGTGTGGGTGGTCTTGAAGAGGATCTGGGGGAACGCTGATCCAGCAAGTGTCAGCAAGTACCGAAAGGTAGGAACACGGAGGTGGTGTGGATTGTGCAAAAGTCGGGTTACATGGAAAACCGGGCAGGGGGAAAAATGGGTGAGGTTGGAGGGAACAGGGTACGACTTACTCGGTAGGGTGGTATCTTGATGATGGGGTTCTGATACCACACCCGAAAATATTGTCGAAGGCGGTCTGTATGAGCAAGATGCTACTGCTCAGCAGAGACGAATTGAAGGCGGAGAAGTGAGGGTCCAGAGAGATGGAGTCCAAGAAAGAAGAGAAAGGTGCTAAGGCGGATGTCTGAGGTGAAGAAATTCGAGAGGCTGGAGGTTGGAGCTTGGGTCGAGAAAAAGAGGGTGGCTAGGCGACGATGCGCTTTGGCAGCGTGGGCGGAATTGGACGGATAGATTGGAAGAAGCGCAATTTGAACGGATAAGAGTGAGATTGGAGCCACCTCACTGCTGCCAGTGGTCGAATTGAGCTGAGCGGCCTCTTTGAACTATATTTGTCGTGACTGCTACTGACTGCGTGCAGTGAAGATTTTGAAAATGGCGAAGATGGCGATGCTGAAGATGTGAGATTTTTTGGTGGTCGAAGTGAGAGGAAGAAACGCAGCAGTAGTTTGGAGTAAGAATAAGAGTGAGGTATGAGGTGTGAGGTGTGAGGTGTGAGGTGAGAGGGTGAGAGAAGAGGTTGCGCCAGTTGGAAGGCCTGCTGATTGTGCGTGGGGGGGAGAAAGAAAGATGACAAGAAAAAAAAGATCTTGTGAAATTGGCTCTCTTTTTTCCCTTGAGCAGGATGTTTGTTCTGTTGATGAGAAGGCGGATGAGGTGTGAGAAAAACCAATCTCATGTGAAGGAAGGAGTGGGCAATTGGGCAGTGACCGGTGGTGGTTGTGCCTCTCTTGCCCAGTTGCACCTTCCTTTGATTTTCAGTGTCAACTCCAAGGCGAAGTGAGTGTGGAGAGCATCACGTAGGACACTCCAAAGGAAGGTACAAAAACCTTGGGAGTGAGAAGGTGCAGCACCTTAGGCCGGAGGGGGGGACCAGGAGCTGAGTTTGAGGTACCTTGAACCTCAGGTTCTCCCATGCGAGGCGGTCCTCTTCGATGCAATGAGATCTAATTGGATGCGACCTGCTTGCTGGAGGCTGGAAGTTGGTCGCGCCAGTTGAGTTGGGTTGCGACGACGAGGCCAGGTACACGACACGTCCGCCAGCCAAACAAGCTCTTCTCAGTCTCAGTCTCAGTCTCGGGCCGTTCAGACTTTCTGATTGACAGCAACGCCAATTGTCTCGGGTTGCCCTGGCAGTAGTGCTCGTCCAATTCACCACATCCAGCTTCAGCTCAGTCAATGTCAGTGCTGCTGCGCGTACGGAGTACGTTACTGGGCTGACGGGAGTGAGAATTGTTTGGTGGCCGCTGTTGCTCCTACTGCTACCTTGGGCCAACACGGACCTATGGCAGCTCACCAAGCAACACCTCCTCCATGCGACCGCTGTCAGGATGTGGGTGTCGAGGTCATTGACGGCTGAGTGGGTGGGCTGTCGGTCCAAGTCGAATGCGCGCGATCAGGTTCGAGTTCGAGGTCAGAATGACTGATGATGCAAGTCGCGCAAGGGCAGGGCAGAAGACAGGACGGAGACGGAGACGTGGGACACAAAACGGGATGGGACAGGTGACGGGTTTTAATTGTTTCGGCAGGGCACCAGCATCGTACCCAACACCCAACCCATCATCGCGTCAAATTACGAACCACGGCGGAGCTTCGCTTCTCACCCGACGGACAAGGCAGGGTTCAAACCATCTCGACATGGAGCTGGGGGCACACTGGAGTCTGGACTCTGCACTCTGCACTGGACAGACAGCATCCATACGTACGAACCTGAGTCCTGAGGTATTACATTACCTGACATTAAAAGGTAGTCCTGGTGTACGGATACGGATGCAGAGTACCAACAACATCTCCCGCAGGTGGACAACATGGACCAATTTCCTCTACTGGCGCCCCCAGCCAAGGTACAGCATGCATCCGCCAATTCACGACGTGCAGCCATGTGCAGGCTTTTGCAGCTCTTTGCAGGTTGTTCCCCGTCGCGAGGTAACTGGTCTGACGCCTTGGCTCTGTCATCCAACGCCAGAGCCGGCCAGGTACATTGAGATGCGCGCCGTGTGGAGCGTTGAGCTGTCGTCTATTGCAGCGCCGGCGTGGAAGATGGCTGCAGCTCTCAGGATTGGGCCCTCGGGGTGCCTTAACGGCGCCTTCCTAAGTCTGACTGGTGCATGGCTCTCCCCGCTGAACATCATTGCCATTACGCGCATCGGATCGCGGGATGTGCAGCCTAGGCCGCCTGGTTATCGACGGCCACGCGCGACCCGGTCCAGGGACATCCCGACTGCTCATTGAGATTGTGGGAAACTTGGCCTGCCCAAAGAGACTCTGCCGGACATGAGCTGACATATCGGGCATTGGGTGCCAATTGGGACGGAGTGACGGGAGGATGAGCCAGACAGTGACATTGTGCGACCAGACGAAGGCGGCGCCGGCTGCGGCCACGACGGGAGATGAGAGACAAGAGATTGGAACTGCTCGCCTCACCTGTGTGGGATTGACCAGCGACTGATCAGCCGTGGCAGGGAAGCTCGGAGAGGCAGGGAAACTGCCTGCGGCGGCCGCGGTGCCGACGATTGAGATTTGAGCCAGTGGGAGAAAATCGGGGGGCTGGGTACGCGTGGTGGGAGGCACACCGGGGTTGAGCTGTGAGCTGTGAGCATGGGCAAGGAAGTGGGCGTAGGTTCGGAGAGGAAACACCAATCAGCCCTAGTGTCGACCAATCTTGCGCATTCTGACCTCGGCCTCGACCTTGGTTATGGCCACAGCACCGGCCTCGATGAGTGACGAGGAGATCCATGACAAGTTCATGATCCAAGGGCACTTGTGAGCCGGCGGTGAGAATGAGCTACTTCCAAGAGTGAGTCAGTGAGTGTGCTGTATGGTACGAGAGACGAAGAGTGAGAGTGAGCTTCAGGAGTCAGAGTGAAAATGAGGTGTGGGTGAGTCTGAGTTGTCACTGCGCAGTGACGAAACCCACCCAGATTGCCAATCGCCCGCCCTTTGGCTTCTCTCCTTCTTCAGCAGTCCCAATGGGATGGTACTTGTCTGGAAGTACCCGTCTAGACCGCGAGGGTCACTTATAGGGATCGTTTGCCTTTCGTAAGGTGATGTGGGATAGATTATATAGCGAACGTCTGAGTAGGATCATGGTTTCGAAACCTTTGTCTTTAGAGATTAGTGAGGCAAGCAAGCTATCGCAAGTACACAATTGCAAACGATCTAAAAGGTCTTTGCTTTGCATATGTGCCTGGTCTGGAGAAACAAGCGGCCCTCTCCGTCGATGAAATGTCTAGACGATCGGGGTCGCGGTAAGACCTGCATTGGCGCGAGGTTCGTTCGTCCTTCTCTCGATGTTCTGTCGCCCAGCATCTGACACACGCAGTGCATCGGACAGTGCGTTGAGATGGAATCAAGGAGGAAGAACATGATCTTGGAAGAGCGATGGCACCCACCGAGCGTAGGAACTTTTTCTCAAGCTTTGATAGCCAAGGCGTCCCAGGAGGGAATTGGAACACCGCAGTATGGCATTGGAAGTTCGACGTTCAACCTCCGTGGAAGCTTGCTGCTTGAGTGTGGGATGTGCTTGCTCTTAACCCAAATCTTGGCATGATTAGGTAAGGTGCAGTCATCCAGATCAACTTCAATCTGGAAGGGAAAGGCCTGGGCCCATGTGCCAGCGAAGAGGGAAAGAGCAAGGGTGGCCCGTGCTAGAAAGGGAGCTCGGGGATCGAACTGGGAAACAACGGGTCGCTCCCGACGACTTCCCCCTGTTCCCTGATCTTGCAGGAGTGGCAGGACCCAATCAAACTGCTCAATGGACCTTCCCCATGATTAAGCTCGCAATTGCCTCGTGGGCCTGGAACCGAACGCTCCAAGCAGCGGTGCACCGGTGCTTCCATTCATCGACGGTTGCAATTTCCTAGACCTGGGGGCCATTTTTTCAGTTCTTCTTTAAATCTTCATACCCGTCTATCTGCAACGGTTTCTACGCCTTTGGGAAACAACTTTAGCGCCCCAGAAACTTGAAGTCTTGATCTGCTCAGATACGTCGCCCATCTGATTTCTGCCCATCGGTGCCCATTCAATCCAACCATTTCGTCCGTACCTACGGATACCTTGCCGATGACCAAGGATCGACCTTTCTCGGCGTCTCTTCTCCAATCTGCCGGACCCCCCAAGCAGCCTCCCTGCTTCACTTACACTCTTGAAATCTCTAAAGTCAAAGATGCCTGCCTCATGGTATCTATCCGAACCCTCGACTCGTTCAAATGTAAAAATCAGCACCCGAGGAAGAAAAACTTGCGTCGATTTCTTCCGTTAATATCCTTGCCCAGAGACAGCTGCCAATCAATTGCAACAAACCTGGGGCAAGGGGACGCGCAACAGACCGCCCCAGGGATGGCCCAGAGTCTGCACAAGCCACTGCGTTGATACCTCACGATACCGGTAATCAACCGCCCTGGGAGCTGCTACCAGCATGTCTCGCGAGTCTGCAACCCAACATGATCGAGATCGAGATCCGACCCTTCTCTTTCCCCTGATTCACATCCCTTCTCAAGTATCCGCGAAAAGGTTTGTCGACTCAGCCAACGACCCTGTTAACTCGTGCGAGACAATGGACCCTTCAGGTACCGCGATATCGCAGGGAGAAATGTTGAGCTTCAAAGGCGGGAGAACTTTTCGGACGATGCCCCGATGCGAGAAAGCACTACGCTATATCGAACCAAACTCAAAAATTTGCACTTTGATCCGGCGTTGGTGATTCGCAATTTGCAGCTATCACGCAAAGCGGAAAAGTCGCGCACCCCTCTTCGGCCTCCCTTGCAGCATGTCTCTAACCATATCCTCATATCTCCGACCCGCACACAATCCTTCGGAGCCACGGAGCATAGCGACATCCCTGGCCAGTGATGTTAGCTGACAGAATGAGATCGGTATGCTAGGGGCGATCATCCCCTGTCGATCGTCCAGCTGCTCAGGCCCCTATCGGATTGCCAGGTCGAGAAAATCAAGAGGTCCCCATCTTGCATGGGAAACCTCTTTTCCAGGGTCACCACTTGCTCGCTGGCCTGAATCGTTTGTCGCCCTTGGCTGCGGACGATCTCCCGCATCCTAACTTTCGGGGACCAAGACCACGCAAAAGACTTTTTGCCTTCGTTGACGCTTGATTCCGCCCGACCGTTTACTTCCCGACCAGACTATTCATTGTATGCAGATGCATGTCGTTTGGAAGTCTAATATCAATCATCTTCTCAGGTCAATACTAGAGTGCGCCTTCGACGGCTTGAGGCGCATGGCAGGCGGCATGACGTCTTCAATACAAATCGCTGAAACTCCCGCTGCGGTCAAGGCTTGCTTTCCCGTCTACCACCATTCTGATCAGTTGGGCGACAGGCATCCTCAGCTCGAGTTATCGTTGGACCGCAGTCCCGCCATCTGATCGATCGAGCCATATATCAGCCGGCTTGTCACACTGTGGCTGTTGTTGCTCTGGAACGCCGCATGCCTACGGCCCGTCGCAAACGGCAGTATCAAAACAAATGGCCCGCATATTAAGATTGTCACCAAACAAACAGAATCAGGGGAACGTGGTTTCCGTCATCCACGGCTGTGGCTATCAACGTCTTGTAAGCCCCCCGCAGCTGAGGCGCTCCACGAAAGAAATGGCTGAAGAATGGGCTGCGCTATCGTAGCAGAAGTTATCTCCACCAAGAGGCAGATCGAGATCGCATATGAGGCTCATTTTGATCAACATCGAGATTCACTTGTCACTCTGGTTGTCTGGTTTTCTTCCAGACGAAGACTGCCAAGCTCACCAGCTTGCCAGCCAACCGAACGAGCCATTATAGTACGCAGTGTTCTGTGTCTCGTTCCTCGTCGGAATATCTTTCCTGCGAGACCATCCTACGAGAACTAGGCTCTCGAGCCTGGATCACGTCAAGTTCTCGTGAGATGTTTTAGCTGGATTGCTTGCCCTTTTCTGGCAGCGTCTGATGAATCGAAAGAGAAGGTGAGTATTCTAGGCCGGCCCTCGCAAGTTTGCTGCAGCAAACGCAGGCCGAGAAGGACCTCTACGCTAATTGTGGCGCCATCAGTTCACCGAGAAGTTCGTTGTCACCGTGGAAGCGAGACAACGAGGAGGTCGACACATTCCAGAGAAAAGGTTCCCACACCAAATCTTTTCCCGCCTTGCTTTTTCACTAGGACCCTCTCGGCTACTAAGGTGGTCAAGCGATTGCCAGCTGCAGAAGTGCAGGACTAGTCTTCCCCGTCGACCCTGTTTTCTAGCCAGAAGACGGACGCCGACGAAGAAGTCTGTGGGTGCAGGGACGTTGTTGAGGCTCTTCCGATCGGCTTCCCCGCATGACGGTGCCCCTTTTCCTCGCTTCTTCGTCCCCTGCGCAGATTTATTGACGCTGCAGAAAATCTTGTTTTCCCTTTCCGCATATTCAAGCAGGTGGCCGGAAAGAGCAATCATGAAGATCTCGTGATCCAAGTAGGCCAAGCCGGCAGACTCCTCGCTTGTTGTAAACGACACACCAACGCGATGTTTCCAGAGAGCGTTTGCTGCTTCGTTGAGCAAAACCGAGTAATGCAGAGACCCAAGGTCAAACCCTTTCTGTCCATTATGCATTCCGTCCGAGACGGAAGTCGCCAGCAGGCAATCTACCATTCCTGCGAGAGCCGTCGAGGCCATGCAGCATCCGATGCCCACCGAACCGTCCACAACACACCGGGCCACATTCGGTGTCTTACCGGGACTCTGATTGGCTCCATGCGTAACTGCCACCGAGTATGCATATCACACGAGGGATGGCCCCTAGGCGAGGAATGTCTGAGAATTGCAGGGGATGGTCTGGTTGTTATAATCAGCCACCCGGGTGGACCAGAACTCAAGACGAGACTCGAGTATGGAGAGACCAAGACAAGGTGCTGCATATTTGTGCTCCTGTTGTTGTCCATCGTTGGGTGGAAGGCATATGATTCGTGCCGCCGGGCCAGCCGTGACAGAGGAGGCATTCTTACAACTTTTCTGGAGCAGGGAGACAGGCTCCGCTTGGCTCAAGGCGGCCCATGCATATATCGTTGCCTCACCCTCATCCATGAGTCCTCCGGCCAGTATATCCATCGTGGCGTTATTATCCCCAGAGTTTCACATCCAGCATAGATCAAGCCGGTGTTGCAGACGCTGACCGCAGCGATGTCTGGCGCTCATGAGGACATGATCGGTTACGCACAGGAGCTCGACATCACGGTAGCTTCTCGACCATCGTCCCGGCCGTCAAGCATGGAGCGGCAAACAAAACTTGCTCATCTTAAGCTCGTTTCCAAGTATTACGGATACGCCAACTTCTCATACCCTCGACCTGACGGCACTCCGACTCGCAATCCGTATAGAAGAGCCGGCCAAACGTACTCATCCGAAGATCTCACTCAAGATTACGACCATCACGAACTTGCTTGCCCGGAAACACCAACTAAACGAGATCGCACTTCCATGGGCTCGCAAGGCTCCAACAGTTCAGCACCCAGCCTCATTGATGATCGGACTGATTCCGAAGTATCGCTCGACGACGACTACCAGTACCACGCTTCCGCATCTCAGCTTTGGGACACCTTCTGGCCTATTGATGAGGCAAAGACTCAGCAGACTCCAGAAAAGGCCAAGACCCAGTATCCTGCCTTGATCCCGTCACCACATATCCGCAGGGCGAAGAAGACGGGTTGCATCAACTACGACGCTTACCCCCTACCACCCCGACCTGTCGAGTATAACATCCAGGTCCAGCACTCACCATCTCCGACCCCTTCCACCACCGAGGACCCTGTGACCCAACCCCAACCACCCTCAAGTATGCCAGCGTCACCGGTCCCCCATCCTGTTCGGGACCCCGAGGACCCTGAGCCTCGGAGCCCTCCAGAACTTCGCCGAACCATTCGTGCCGTCCGCTCTTCTTACAGCCTCTTCCCTCGTACTCAGCCTCAAGCTCCGAGCTATCCTCCACCACCCCCACCTCACTTCTCTGCCCTCTCAACTCGACCAAGTATGGGAAATCTGCGCAAGGGACATCGTCCACCACCCATCCATCTTCATTCTATGCCCATGTCTACGGCCACCGCTACCGCCGCTCCACTGTACTCTCCCGCCACAGCGTCTCTGTTTTCTCCTCTCTCATCGCCTCTCTACTCTCCTCTACCTTCTGACTACACGAGACCTCATACCTCGCATGGGAATTATTACCCATGTACTGCCGACCTTACACACCCCCGTTCTGCTCCCTTGCCACCACAGACACCAACGATAGGAGTTTCATCGGGTCTGGACACGCCCAAATCTTTCTTCGACTTTGACTCGGACTCGGACTCTGACGAGGAAGAGCCTGAGCACACCATCTCTCGCTTCGTCAAGACGCTGCACAAGCGAACCGCCAGCGAGACTCGCCGGAGCGCCAAAGGGGCGGCCTACGCGGATGCACAGCTCCGCAAGATCCGCGCGGAGACTGAGGCCGAACGTATTCGCGAGAACCAGATGATCTTTGAGCGACACAAGAGGTCCGGTGCCGTCTTTGGACGCATGTTTGGACGCACGCATGCAAGATCTCCAAACGCATAAAGACCACGTAGCTCAATTGCGCATTACGAGCATATGGCCTACTGACGACGGGGGGGCGTCGGGATCAGCCGGCGTAGTTGCATTTCAGCGCAGCGTTTGCATTTTACTCGTTCATCTTTCTTTTGTTTCGTTGTTTCACTCGGTTTCATTCTCGTCATGTTTCCTCCACGTTAACGCTTGAATGTTCTCATTATACTGCCATGTTTATCATTATCTCATGAAGAAGAATACGGTCTTGGAACAACTGGGACAAGAGGAGGATCTAGTCGGTAAGAGGAGGACAAATACAAGGTTGCGCAGACCACCTGGAAGTGGTTTGCGCGGGGAGCCCCAACAAGGGATGAGAATTCGTGTGGACCCCGGGGAAAAGAAGGTTTCCAAAGGGATGGATTAGGGGAAGGGAGGAGGAAATTGGATCAACGAGTCAGACGGATCAACGACGAACGACGAAAATTATGGTGAGAGCGGGGTTGACTAGTTCTCCTCGCAAGGGAACGCAATCTGATGTAACGGCCTTTGAGCTCGGAGATGACTCCGTCCCTCCTCTGGGGGGGAAGCATGAGCGTCGTCAGTCGAGAGGTCTTGTCTGGCGACTTGACCAACCTAAGAAGAGTAAAACATCAACAATAACAACAAGATAGGATAATTGCCACAAGGTAGACTAACTAAGAATGGAGAGGCAAAATGCTTCTCCTACAACTGTCTGTTCAAACCAAGTGTACTCCGTTCCGTTCCCGCGTAACGTTGTCGAGGTCGCCACACTTGAAGCATTTGATGACGTAAATTGACGATGGAAGCTGCTGACTTGTCAGCTGCTCTTGTCTCGACCGAAAATGGAATTCGCTCAAAAGCAGATTCTTGGCCACTGGTGTAACACACGAACGGGAGGAGCCCAGTCCATTCTCACGACTCAACCTTTTTGGCTGCGGCCTTTCGCTGCGAGCAGCCTACGCGAAAGGATCTAGACTTTTGAGTTGCCGGAGCAATGCGCGACGTTGACATGTAGAGGGAGGAGAGGGCCAGCGCTGCTTACGGGCGTTGGAACAATTTGGCTCTCCGGCTCGCTGGCTCGCTCGTGTAAGCCGGAGAGAGCCGAGAGCCGAGAGGGGGGTTAGACGAGCTCGCTTCGGGTCGGCGGGATCGAATCCGCGCCTTGGGCGAGAAAGGCGAGAGATACTACGAGTACGGGCAACCCGTAAAAAGGTTAGACGAAAGAAGTTGTCTTGGCGGGAAGTTTTGACTAGGCGACTGTGTGTTTGGAAAGGATTGAATTCCAGTTTTGGTAGGGGTCAGAATCGTGGAAAAGAGTTTTTGATTTGCGAAGCTAGATATGCGGTACACGGCGAAGCATTTGTCTGGAATTTGCAAGGTTTCGCAGGGACGCTTCCCACTGCCGTGCCTCACTCTTTATGATTGCCATATTCGAATCCGATTGCTTGAGATTTCTAATACCAAACGGATCGAGAGACATTGAACCATAGCACCGGAGCAAGTATCATGGACATACGTTGGAGGTGATGATGATGGATAAGGTGAGTCGACATTAATGCATTTGATGCGTAAAAGGACATTCTATCGTGGATCCCATGTAAATCGTTCCCCATACACTCATATCGTAAAACCCCCCTTCCCTTCTCTGTTCTGTCCCCCCCCTTGACTCTCCTTTCGTCATTCATCTTCATCTTCATCTTTGATACTTCGTGGATATGCCCAAACCTGTAAAAACGCCATGCCAATGCAATGAGGAAACCCTGGAAACATGACCCGTGAAAATGCCAGTAAAAGCCGATACATGAGTGAAAAAGAAATAGCAGACATTAGAAGTCGAGGCCGTGAATCAGAAAAGCAGACTTTTTATCTCCTGATGGCTCGGAAGGAAGACAAGATGCTTGGAAATGGCGGCGTAAATGTCGGAGCTCGACGCGAGAGGGGGAGGGGGATCAAAAGGCTTTGGTCCTCAAACCATCCCAATCATAGACCTCCTAGAACAAGGTCTCCCAAAAGGGCCTACCTTCTCAGCTCCATCACCCGTAAACCTCTTCAACCTCCTCACCCCAAGCCTCCTCACATCACGCCCAGCCTCGACGTACCCCAACACCCAAACACTCTGACTCATCCCCGCCGCCGCAGCAGACGCGCCCCTCGCCGAGCTCCCCGGTCCGGCGCCGAGATACACGCGCAGCTTCTCCGCCGAGCGCGGCGCGGCCTGGAACGCCGGGTCTGCGGCGCAGTCCTCGTTGGCGAGGAAGGAGAAGATCTCGGCGGGGCAGGTAACGCCGTGCGGGAGGCGGTAGTTGTTGCGGCCGAAGAGGAGGGAGATGAGGGCGGCGAGGTAGAGGACCAGCAGCGCCAAGATGACGGCGAAGACGGGGATGTTAGGGAACATGCGGACGCCTCCTCCGGTTTCTGAGGGGCGGTTGGTGGCGGTGAGGGCCATGAAGAGGCCTCCTGCGAGGGCGGGGAGGAAGGTGAGGAGGAGGGAGAGGGCGGAGAGGGCTGCGACGCGGTAGTGTCCGTTGCGGAGGGCGTGGAGGGTAGATTGCAGAGGCAGACAAGCGGCGTAATCCGCGAGCACGGAGCGGGAGGCCGGCGCGCCGTCCGTGGTGGTGCTGAGGTCCGCCCAGGGCTGGAGGATGCGGAATTGCTGCTCGAGGGTCTGGAAGGCGAGGAGGAGAACGAGGCCGAGGAAGCTGGGGACGAAGCTATACAGAAAGTTGGCGGCGGAGAAGGAGGAGGGCGCGGAGAGGGGCGCGGCGGGGACGCCTGGGCGGAAGCCGGCGACGAGGCTTGTGCGGTGGAGGAAGGAGACGACGAAGAGGGCCGTGAGGAGGATCGTCGAGGCGACAACGTAGAAGAGGACTTGTGGCGTGCGGAGGCACCAGGGAAGTTTGTAGGTTTCTACGAGGCCGGAGCGGTGGGCGGAGCGGCCTGCTAGGAGGGTGGATGTGACGGAGCGGCGGTCGTGGTGGTCGTCGGCGGCGATGGCGGAGGAGGAGTAGGATTCGTTCTTAACGTCGTAGTGGAGGTCGGACGGGGTGTGACCCTGGGAGTGTTCCGTCCCGAGGCCGTACCAGGGCGTCTCCTGGTTGTCGTCCGTCATCCAGTAGCCCAGGCGGTCGACGATGCGGTTCCGGAGCATGGAGCGGAGCTTCTTGCTCGACGGGGCGACCTCTGCGCCGCGGTAGGCGTCGCGGGTGTTGCTTCGGGCGATCATGACGGAGAGGTCGGCGATGGAGCGCGGGTCCCACATGAGACCCGTTACGCGGTTGCGCCAGAAGAGGAGGAGGATGACGACGGCGGCGAGGACGAGGAGGTAGAGGGCCACGAGGGTCCAGACGACGCCCTGGACGGCGGTCCAGTACCAGACGTCGACGAGGATGACGGTGAAGGAGGCGCTGGCGAGGGGGATGGCAAAGGCGGAGAGCCAGAGGGTGGCGAGGGCGATTTTGACGTGGACGGGGCCGGCGAGCTGCGGGAGGAGAAAGGTTTTGGTGTAGAGGTTTTGGAAGAGGGCGTTGCGGCGGCAGATGGGCTCGTCTTCGGAGAGGGCGGCGAAGGGGAGGATGCGGAGGGTCGCTGCTGCGACGCACTGGGCGTAGACGAAGATGAGGGAGGCCAAGAGCTGAGGCAGGATGCGGAAGAGGAAGTATTTGCCGCTGTAGATTGTCTCGCCGTAGGTTAAGAGACCGGGTTGGATTGGTGAGTAGACGGCGGCGACCATGAGGCAGGCGATCATGACGAGGCAGAGCATCATGAGGGCAATGAGGGAGGGCAGACGCAGGATCGTGGGGACGAAGTTGAGGCGGGGGTATATCGCGCGGTCCTCGTCAATGGTGTCGATCTTTGTCATGCCCGGGAAGACGCTCTCTCTCTCGCTGATGGGGAGCCATTTGGGGGTGGTCTCGGTGGGGTTTACGCCGGCCGGGGTCTGGACTTGGTTGTGCTGATACCTCGAGTCTGCCGAGTGCGGCGGCGACATGGAGATGATACGGGTGCCGAGAGACATGGAAGGCCTCTCGGCGCCAGCGTTGGAATGCGGCCGGGACTGACGGCGGACCGAGTCCCGGGTGTGCGTAGGGACGGGAACCATGGGTGAGAAGCCGGAGTCCAGGTCGCCGCTTATGAGGGGGCTCTGGAGGTCGTCCGGGAGGTATCCGGCAGCGCGGTAGTAGCCGGTGTTCTCGGCCGGGGAGGGGACGCTGGACGGGGGAGAGAATCCGCCGCTGTGGCCGTGCTCCCTCGTCAGGGCCTCCAAGGCATAGCGGAGGTAAGGGGTGTCGTCGACGCCCGGCGTGACGGAGCCGTTGGCGGCAATGGTAAGCTCGTCGCGGAAGCCCTTGGCGCGGGCGCGGTTGGTAACCTCGTCGACGGCGAGCTGGGCCTCGTTGAAGTGGACGGCCGGCTGGGAAGTGTAAGGATCCTGACTTTGGGAGGAGAACATGCTGCCGATGACGACGGGGGCGGGGAAGTTGTTCTGCTCCGGGTGGTAAGGGTTTGAGTGATGTTGCTGCTGAGAGGGTGGTGAGGGAGCGTGGGGTACGAAAGACGGCGGCGGCGAGATGGCTTCCTGGGGGCTGGAATCTTCTTCTTCTCGTTCTATGCCGTGTGCATGATGCTGCCTCCTTGCGTGGTGAGGGCGAAGGGTGTTTGGTGTGGATGAGTGTTGTGATGGTGTCTCGGCAGACCAATATTGAGGCGGATATTGGCCGCCTACGATGAGGTTGTTAGTATGAAGTAAGAAGAGGCGGGAGGACAGGGTTGTCGTGAGGAGGAGGGGGTGGGAAAGATGAGGGTGTGAAGGAGTTGTAGATGAAGTTGACGATGATGGAAAAGAGGAGGAAAGAAGGTGTGTGTGTGTGGATGAAGAAGTGGTAAAGGAGGTCAAGTTACGATATAGGGTGTAGACATACGTTGATGTTGCGCGTAGGCGTTGTCGGGGTGGGCGTTGTCGGGGTGGGCGTTGTCGGGATACATGGCGGCTATGCCTTTGATCCTATTTCATGGGTCGTCGTTGTTGTCGTGAGAACCTCTCTGCAGAGCTGATGCGGCGTGATGAAGCCTCCACTTGTTACGGAGCCAATTACCAGCGAGAGTGAAGGCGGAGATGTCTTCAATAGTCTGGCTGCATACGCATATCGGAACTGCAATAATGGTCAGGGAGGGGGAGGATACACAAGAGCAGGAGAGAAGAGAGAGGGAAGGCTGAGCATCGTGGTTGGGAGTGTGTGTGGTGCGTGGTGTGGGTGGTGGTGAGGTTTTTGCTGTTTGCTGAAAATGCGTGGTTGGGAAAGCAAGAAAACCATGCATCATGGAGAGTTGTGACTGGTGATTGCAGCTCGTCGTTGGTTGCGATGGTGTTGCAGGTCGGAGGTTGGGAGGGAACGGCGTTGCCCTCCCAGCCACCGAAAACCCCACAGAAAATCCCTGAAACCCCGGGGGTCCCTGACGGCCGCTAGGCCCCGTAGCGCCCCGGATGCAGGAACCAGTGCCAGAATGGGAACAAGAGACACTTTTGAACAAGGAAGACTGACCTTTTTGACGTTTGTCAGGAACAAGAAACGATGTCCTCGTTTTACATAGAGAGAGAAGAGGAGGGGGAAGATAAGAGAGTATATCACGGAGTAGGGGAAAACACGAAAAGTTTATCGCGTGGTTGCAGTTCATCCCATGTTGCTTTTGTACACACAAGGTCAGGTACCTAAGCACCTAAGGTAGACGGTTTTCAGATGACAGAAGGGTACGTATCCTGCAGTACAGCTGTCCTGCATACATCCATCTCCCAACTCACAGGTTGCATACCTCACTTGACAACTTGAATATGCCCAACACCACCCATCCAAGAACACCTGTGCCTGACAATGAGAGAGTGACACTTGTAACTTGGGAATACTGCGTAAGAACACCACGGACAGGGGACTCCACCCCGGCGGCAGCACGTCTCCGCATCCGCTGCCACCTCTCGCGCCGACGAGGGAACGCCACCTTATGACAGGGCTCATTTGCGAGTGGCTGGGCTGCAGGGGAGCCCGGCCGTTTGCTTACCTAAACATCTCTCGACCTCTCAATCTCTCTCTTGAATTTTGAGTCCGTGAAGCTGCGATCCTCCTCACCGATTCTCACCTAACTATGAAACATGCCTCATGTCTGGAGCCAGAGTTGATTCTCTTGGAGTATTGAGCCGTCGCTATTGCAATTGCAGCCACAGGCTCATCGGCTGGGAAGACCGCCTTCACCACGGTACCTAGGTATCTTGAATTAGCTAGGCTTTTGCAACTGCACGGCAGCAGCAATCGACTGGGTCTTCCGATAACGGGTCGGTAAAGGGATGCAAGTCGCACTGCTTACCTGGCCGCGGTACCGGAGGCGGCCGCAGCTCCAAGACAATCGGGGGTAGGCAAGGTGGAGACTTTGTTCGGAAAGCCTTTTTGCCGTCTGGCCTTCCGCTGTGGGGCCGTGGGACCGAGACTCGGGAGTGGCTTGGATAACACTATCTATCAGCCGGGAGGTGAGCCACATCCAGGTCATCGAGCAAACAAGCATGGCCCTCTCGAGAAACTGGCCTTTACGTATGGGTCGGTCTGAGACTGCCAATGCAAAATCGCTTCGGAGCAGACAGCTTCCGGATGGAATTTTAAAGAAGGTTGAAGGATATATTGGAAATGCGAATGTATTTCACTTCATACTGCATTTCTGTCTTGATACTCGTCGTCATCGCCGCCTTCCACCATCCACCTATCCTGGGTATCATCTATACTGGACTAATTAAGTAACGAGTCACTGTGTCCCGACTAATGAGACCAACCCTACCACCGAGTCAGTATAATCAAACACCACGGCTCTTTATCCCACTTACAACTCTTCAAGTCGTCCGAATCTCAATCCCGCCCGCATTCACGGCCGGCAGTAAGTGCAACGAGCGTGGGTGCACGCCACAAACGCTTCATTGGGCTTGTTGTTAAAGTCACAGTACTCGTAGCACTCCATCAGGTTCTTGTCGGGGCAGACCTGTGCGCTGGCGAATGACAGGCCGGCCACGAGGATGGAGAGGACGGGTGCGAGCTTCATGTTGGTGAGTATTCGTATATCGGGTCTTGGAAATAGTGGAAGGAAGGGATCACGTAGGAGAAGGGAGTTGCCACGAGTCTTTATAAAGGACTCCTTTCAAGCGCAGCTGTGCCTACAAGACATCACGCTCGAAAAGAAAATAAAATAAAATGAAAAGGTGGTCAAATAGGCTATGCAGGGTGTAGGCGCGGCAGTGCCGGTGTTGATGATTTCCCCGAGTCGGGTATTATGATACTCGCAAGCCGACGCGGGAAATAATCATGCGTGGAGCAAAGGAAACAGGGCCAATATTGATAATCTGCGTTACGGCAAATGAACACGCAATTAAACGCTATGATTGGGGGGCGGTTTGCCAGTAGAATCGACGGTAAACTATCTAGCAAGAGACACGACTCAAGGCCCCAGTCTCTGGTACGGCTGTACGGCGCTGGGCCCCAACGTACACGGCTATTATGGAAATGAGCTTTCGTAGTACGAAGTACCAAGTAGTAGCGAACGCAAAAGGCCGTGCTTAGTCGCGACGGTTAATTTCGTTCTCACCAAGGTTCATGACTATATTCTATACTAGGGCGTCACCCCATTCCAACTCCTACGTGCCCGCTGTCTTGTTTCTTTAAGTTTGCCAAGCCACCTTTTTCTCCGGGAATACGGAGTAACCCTCTTGTAGATGCTTGGTTCAGCGGTGGAGGAAACACTCAAGAATCCATGCTCAAAGCCATCTGGCTACGGAGTGCAGACAAACATTCATATGTTTCACTCACAAGACTACCAGCGCGGTATTGCTAATGACATCCTACAACTCTTCGCCCCAACCGCCCTCCTTTCCTACCTCAACAAATCGGGCCAGCCGCCTCTTGAGTTCCTCCACGTCAATCCTCTCACTGCTCCTCGCAACACCACTCTTCTCAGATGAAGACGAAGACGACGACAATAACGGCGCTGGCGGTTGCGGTGGTGGCAAGAGCACCTCATCCAGGATGTGGACGACGCCATCCCTGACCGGCACATCTCTCGCTGATACCGCAGCCCCATTCACACTAACATTCATCTTCATCACGCCCACCGGCAGCCGTCCACCTTCGCCCGCAGGTCCCGTACTGCGAGAAACCAACGCCTCGATCGAGACCCTTGCCCCGTCGAGTAGAGTCTGAACATCCCGTCGCACCCGCCCCATCCCGTCTGCATCTTCTCCGAGGTCTTCTCCCCCGTCGGTCTTCTCCTCTATCCCCTCCATCCCCATGCCTTTGGAAAAGTCCGTATAAACCACCTCCGCAACAAAATGGTACTTCACCAAGGCCTCAAGAAACCTCGCCCCCGTCTGCGAAGAGAAGAGAAAGTCCATCGCTTCCTCGCCCAACTTATCCCACGCCTCATTCGACGGCGCAAACACCGTGATCCCAGAGCCACCACGCTGGCGCCGCAGAACTTCCTCGCTCACTCCGCTCCTCTTCATCGCCTTCGCAAAAGTCCCCAGCGTCTCCTCCGGCACCGCAGCACCGACAAGCACATCCCACCGCGGTGGCGGAATCAAAACATCGTCGATAAAGTGAACAGCAACAGCACCATCTCCGCTCTCCCTCGATTCGGAAGCGAGAACCCGTGCGTAAAAGTTGACTTCGACACCGGATGGCCCCTCCGCGATCCTCACCCTCTGCCGTCGAAGCTCCCCGCCGCCACCTTCTTCGAGAACCGTCTCCGCCGTCTGCAGCCCACGGAGGTCTTGGTAAGTAAACCGCCCCGGAAGAACGTGGTACTCGAGGATCTCGCCAAGTAGCTCCGCTCGACTGAGTTCGAAAACGCCCTCCAGCTTCCGGAAGGCCGAGTCCGTGGGAACGAAGATTGTGAATTGCTTTCGCTTCTGCGTGTGCTCGTCGTTGCTGAGAAGCATGTCGTGGACCTTGTCGTACGAGTCGAGGAGGGTCGCGAAGTAATCGGTTTGCATGCCGCTCTCTTTGATCAACGACATGAGATTCTTCCCTTTATCTACCTCTTCTTGACTCGATCTCGGATCTTCATTTGTTATTTGTTGTAGTACTACCGGCGCTGCGTGGCCGGTTTCGATGTCGTGGGCGTCGGTTGGATGTCCCATCACGCGTCTACCAGCCTGGGCCACGGTTCCAGCAGCTTGGTAGAACATGCCGCCAATCGCGTTGACCACATCGTCGAGTGAGGATGACTTCTCATCACTCCATGTCCGTATTGGGTCCCAATTCGGTTCCCTTGAGCCTCCGTCTTGGATCCTTACCATCGATTTCTCGGATCTACTACTCTCAGGCAGAACAATAGCCGAGACAGAAGCAGCCGCAGCTGTAAAAGGCAAAACACAACTCGCCTTCATATCCTCGATCTCTTTAGCATCCGATATCAAAGCCGCAGCGGCAGATGACGACAGCGAAGAATCCACTGACGACGAGCGAACGTGATGTATCAGCTTCGCAGAGAGGTTTCGACGGAGAGAGGTAGAAGGGTTGAAGCGGATTTGCATTCGACGCCCCATGGGGAAGTACTCGCTCAGAATCATAGCCTTATATAAGTAAAAGGTAATTGTTGTGTAATTCTTCAACACAAAGAATGGGTCCGAGACATTACGACCCGGATGAAGTGGGCGTCCCGGTCTCCGCTGATGTAGGTTTCTCCCATCGGATGGAGACATAGAGGTTCCCGTTCCCCCCGGTCCCGGGAGGGCAGTAGCATCACGGCGGACCATCAGGGTCCGCATATGCAGTTTGACTTACACCGCACCGTTGCGGCTCTGCATGCTGTTCCACTTCTTCCCGGTACATGCGGTATTCGGATCCGTTGTAGACTTTGACTGGTTGGGAATGTATGAGAGTCGTGTCTTGGCGGTTGCGCAGGACAACAAGGTGCCGTCACCTGAGTCCGAGAATACCGGGTCCAAAGGCATGACGAAGAAGTCCCCGTCCACCACGATGGATCTGGGTCTGAAATGTGTCCCTTGGCCAATTTTTGTCTCATCTCAGAGAATGCTCGACATTGACATGGTAATGCCGTTCAGTTGCACCGAGATGATTCAACTCACACTCGCGGGCCCCCAAACCCGCCGACGACCCGAATCTCCCCAACCTTCTTCCGCTCCACCGACTCAAAGGCATCGACAACCCGCCCGCCCCTGATATCAACAATACCCCATCTCTGCTCTCTGCCCTTTCTCAAGGCCATTATTCTCAAGGCCATTCTTCTTCCTCCCGCTTCCGCTCCCGTCTCATGCTCCCAAACACCAATCTCGTCAAGAAGAACCTCCAAAGCCCACACAAATTTCACCGCCGTGCCGTCATCCTCTCCTCCACCACCACCCCCAGGCGCAGCAGTATACAACCTCTCAGCATCCTCCTTATCCCTAGGTATCTTCGTACACAGCAAGTGTAAATCAAGAAGCTGTGAAAACACGAGCCCAAAAGTGGGTTTGTTCCTTCTCGACGCCGCCTGATTCCCACCATAGCCGTAGCCTGTGATGTTCAACGCAGGCGGATTGAAAATGGATCTGAGCGTTGGATCGACGGCCTTTCCACTGCTATCAGTGCCGTTTTCTCCTCCATTCGGTGGCCGCGGCGGCGGCTGCAGACCGCCTTGGGTATTCGCGGGCTTGGATATTGTCGACTCTTTTGAAGAACTCGTACTATTCAGAAGTATGATCAACGGGCTGGTCTCCAGATTTCTGGATAGATACCGCAGGTGGGAGGAGAGGCGTTGGAGCGAGTCGTGCGCGGACTGACGGTCGCGTCGGGTGAAGAGGGACGTCATGAGGCTGTGGAAGTGGGTGATGAGGATGATGTCCGGCAAGGCTGGTTCTTTCGGATTGTCGTCTTCTGGGAATCTGCTCGCGGGTGGTGCTGCTCCTGCTACGGCTAAGATCGCGTGGGGGATCTCATCTCCTGCCGTCGGTCTGCTCTCAGTCTCCTCCTCGTCGTGAAGCTCTTCTGTGACTTGCTCTGGTGTCTTTTCCAATGTGTCGTTCAGATCTTGCCCATCTGCGGCTCCTTCAGTGTCTTCCTTTTCGTCCGCTCCTCTCTCGGGAGAATCTGCAGCCATGAACGGTGTCGGTGACCGAATTGTCGAAGGTGGCGGTGACAGCGAAGATGACGAAGAAGATGGCAGCGAGATGGCGTCCTCATCATCATCCTCGTCGCTGTCGGCGATCTCTGTTCTCGTAGACTTGGTCGTCTGAGGCCGTGGCTTGAGTTCCGGCAACACAATCCTCTCTGGCTGTTGAGACATTTCCGGCTCTGACGCAGCATGCATCCCCAAAGAAATTGCCGCATCCTCAGCAGAAACTTCCACATCAACCGCGACGTTCGCGGTTCCTTCATCCTTCTTCTCGCCTCCGGCATCATGCTTATCATCGTCCTTCTTCAACCGCTCCCCATACGGTGCCCGAACCCCCGGGGAGGAGGACACCACGCGTGGCTCAGGACTCTCAGGCGGAATGTCCAAGTCGCCGAGAGCCTCCCACAAGCCCTCGAGATCAAACACCCTCGAGACAGAGACCCTTCCCAGACACCGCCTCAACCTCGTCATCACGTCCGCCTCAGCGGTGCCATGTACCACGAGCTCCGTTCGAATGGCGTCCCTTAACGCTGGGAGAATAGCCGCAGGAGGCTGCGTCGTGACGACCATCACCCTCGCCTCCTTACCTCTCTCGTCACTCTCGGACTCGTTTCCGCAGAGTGTCTTGGCCAGCGCCTGCATCGAAATCTAGACATAACAAGTCAGTTAATTTCCCCTTTGACTCCCCCAATGCAGAATAAAACTCACCAGGATCCCCATCTGCTCACTCTCAGAACTAAGCCCAACAACACTCCCTCTCTCAAACCCGCCACCGAGAACCTCCTCATCGACCTCCCGGCTCCCGACCTGCACTCTACCCCTCGCCACCGCCGCATCTCTGCGCTTCGTCTCCCGACTGCAGAGAACGGCTGCGGAGACCAGCTCGAGAGGGAAATGCGAGCTCGCCTGCGACGCGGGGAATACCATCTCACCACCGTCGTCGTCGTTGGCGCCTGCCATGGTGCAGATATGCCTCTCTTCCTTCCTTCCTCTTCTTCTTCCGGAGCTCACCGTGGCGCGAGCCGTTCTGAAACGAGACAGGTGACAGGATAAAATTGTGTCATTTCCATGCCATCTCGACTTAGTCTTTCGTCGACTCTGCCTGCCTTCTCCTCTGAGATCTGAGATGGTATGAGTGATACCGGCACGAAAGTATCGTCAAGTCACATGATGGCAGCTGCCAACAGTTGCGCGGATTAGATTCCGACCTGAGTTCCAGGGGAGGGAGGAGCTGATTGTAAATTCTCCGCTGGAAATCTCGATCAGGTCTCGGCGCTTCCCAGGGCCAGCAGGCACATTGGGAGTCAGGGCAGGGCCTTATCAGCCACCTCAAGGCTCAATGACATCACCCCTGTGTCTTGCATGATTGTCACTCATGCAGCCCTTCCTCACTCCTTGCCTTATACCTTACTCAACACATCCCATCCGGACTTCGCCATACAAAAAACCTTGCCTAGGGGGGCACGGGAGACGAGTCATGTATTTTGTGCTTTTTCGTGTCAATAAACTGATCCCTTGTTCCAAAAATACCAAACACATGTTATCCCATTATTGCCGCCGTCACTGTTGAATGCACTGCAAATTGGCACTGAGAAGAGTCATGTGAGGCTCAATGTTCTCTATTTTCAATAAAGCTAATTCATAACAATCTGCCGACGGACTGTTGGATTGCCTGCTCTATGCCTTCCCTTTGTGTAAAGTGCCTCTGCCGGCCCTGGAATATTTGTAGCAAAAGAGGCAGAAAAGGAGGCTCGTTTCCTCCCAAAGAAATATGATTATTCACGAGAAAGGTATCACTTGTCGGGTGGTGTGAAAATCCAGACGCAAATGTGCGACCGCTCCGCCCTGACAATCGTAGTTTTCGTCCTGATGGCTTCTCCAAGAGCCACCCAACCCAATTCGAGATCCCAACCGTATTGACTCCCTCCACAAATGATCCAGAATTCGATATTATCGGATCCGTAGCCCAATGTGTTTGCATTGTAACCAGATTGGTTCAAACAACTTCACATAGTTCCTTGTTGGGGTGCATCGACTGCACCCTTCCTCTTTCTTGAAACTGATCGCCTTCTAGTGAGGCGTTTAATAAATGACAAGGACTGTCTTTGCCGTATGCCTTCGCAATCGTCTTGATGTGTCCCTTGTTTTGGCTCGATGCGCTCGTGTCCTGCTTCCTAAGTTCTGCGAAACCACTAGGCAGCAGTGCCAGGTGCAGGAGGCGGTGCCATGGCATCAGAAGCCTGGCGTCTGCGTCCACCCTTCAGACTCTTGACCCTGGCCATGAAGCCTCCAGAAGGCTTGCTAGGTCCGTCCTCGGTCGGTGACATGACGTCAGCTGTGGCACGACGCTCGAGGCCGTTGGCAGAGCCTCGTCGGGGCACTGGGGGAGGCACACCGGGCGAACGGGTACCGTTGTCGGCTCGCTTGACAGAGATTGTCTCGGGCTCCTTTCCATACTCGGAAAAGAAAGGGTTACGCTCGCCAGTGTAAGAAATGCTGCTGGCAGGTCCATTGGCGTCGGGCGATCGGCGGGAGGTGTATGCTCCCTCAGGGTTAGTGATTCGACCAGAAGGCCCATATTCGCGAGGCTCCCGCTTCATTCCACGAATGCGCTGGGCAATGGACTTGCTGCGCCCAAGGCCTTCGGAGTTCGACTGCTGGGCTTGCTCGGCTTGGGTCTTCTGGATGGCAGCTCGGGCGGCAGGGGTACCCTCCAAGAAGGTCGAGGCACCGAGTCCCATGGATTCCTCTCCGTAAACAATCGAACCGCGAGCTCGGGGGTCAAAGACAGCGGGATCATCCTTGCGCTCTGCAAGTCTTGCAGCAGTTGCAAAGTCTGCTGATGCCTCGCCATCGTTGTGGCCCATGAAAACAGCATGGTCAGGGCGCTTGTTGAGGGGGCCGGAGCCGCCAAGTGACATGTTGAGGGAGTCCTTGGCGAAGGCTTGCATCGGTGCACGTCGGCTGCCCTTGCGGTTACGGTGGGGGTTGGCTGCATCGAAAGGACCATCGTGATGGAACACTACATGCCATTAGCCTCGAAATTTTCATCAAAAACATGCTTAACTCACATCCGGTGCCGTAGATGCTGGTGGCATCCAGTTGGTCGATGATATCAATTCTGCGACTGGGTTTCTTGGGGTCCTTATCCTTTCCTTCCCGGGCGCGGCGTTCTCTCTCCCGACGTCTGGCTTCTTTCGCCTTTCTCTCTTCGTCGGTCGGGGACTTCTCGATATCAATCAGGACAGACGACTCGGAATTTCTGCGCGGTCGGCGTTCCTGAGGTCGGCGTTGGGGCGATCCAGGAGCTCCGCCAGGTCGGGGAGGACCACCGCTGCCCTGAAGGCGTCGCTGTCTCATCGCCTCCTCCTGAGATCTCGATGGACGGTGTCCGGGTGGCGGAGGGCCGCGACGGGCCCCAGGCGGCACATTCTCGCGTCCTGGCACTCCAGGAGGGCGATTCGTCGGGGGTCGAGGTTGCTTCTGATCGTTAATGGTGAGACCATCCTATAGGGCGAAAGTCAGTAACCCGCAATGTACGCGTGGCAAGAATTCAATTGGCGACCGAGGGATCGGTCCGGGTTAAATGAGTGAATTGATCGGGGGACACGTACAAACAACTCCTCAGCGGTAGGCGATGCCTTGTTGTCCAGCGATGTTGACATGGTGCCTGCTCCGATCAAATTCGGTTGACTACTCGAGTATGATGGATCGAGGAATGGGTTGCGCGAGACAGGTCGGGGAGGGTCGTCAAAAGGCGAGGCGGGTGAGGTGGTATTCGTAGTGCCGGAGAGTAGTGGGGAGGCTGCGCGGTTGCGAAAGGGGTTGTTGGATGAGAGATTAAGCGTCAAGCCAGCGCCAGCAGATTTGCTAGGTTGATGGCCTATTCCAAGGAAGTAAAGTTAGCACTCGATAGGAGGAAGGAGAGAGAGAAAGACAGCGACGGCTCCGTGCATGCGAATGACGGCGAGGGGGAAGGGATATGAAACATGAGGGCGGTATACATGACACAGCAGGTTCAACAACTGGGTGGAGCGGGCGCGGTGCTTGCGTTTGCTTGGGCGGCAGTGCAATCCGTGAGAAAGGGCGGCTCTCTTCCCGTTGGACAGGGCAAAAGTCAAAGGGGGGAGATCCGGGAAGATGGTGGCAGGCATTGAAAGGGGTGGGTGGGAAGAGGGATGAGGGTTGGGCAGGATAGGACATGCCGGCGCATATCCATCCCCTACATCCATATCAGAGTGTTTGATTCTTGGCTTACCTGGCTGTGCTGATTGTGCCTTTGACATTTTGGCTGTAGTCTGTGAGGTGTACCGAGTGGGATGGTGTGGTACCCGCGACGGGAGGGATGACCAGATGGGAATATGGATAATGATGATGGACAAGCGCGTCGTATTGAAAGTCAAGGGATCGACCTTTTCTTCCGCGAGAAAAAGGGGAGCTGTCCGACCGATTGAGGAGAGACCAGCGAGCGTTGCTAGCAAGCTTGATTTTCTTTGGCTGTCAAATGGCCGTTCCTAGCGTCATGCCTCTCTGCAGGGACAAACAATAACGGGGGGAACGGGTTTTGGGAGGAGCCACCCGACGGTTCCTCGGCAGGTCACTGTGCGGTGCGGTGCGCGCGGTGTGTGTGTGGCAGCGTGCGGGCAAGCAATCTGCAGTACGTCCGAAGGTAGATGGGCGGTCGGGATCCGGAGTTGTAGGTGGGTGGATGCGTGGGTTGAAAAGAAAAAAGAATAGGGGTGAGTTGTAATATCGAAGATCCTCGATAATAGTCGGCAATGCGCGTCTGGTTTGGCCTGTAGTGCAGCGCGGTGTTCTCTTCTCCTGCTTTGGTCCGACGTCAGCTCAAAAAAAGCATCCCTTGGGCTTTGAGGGGATGGATTGGTTTGAGGGGGACGAATTGATTATCGGATAATGGATTGGGTCCAAATCATCCAATTCAGGGGGAGATTGCTGGTCTGCCGGGAAGCGAGTAGTTTGGCTACCTTAGGTGGCTAGGAATTTTTGGGTGGTAGAGTGGTGGATCTGGGGTCCACGCACCATCCACGACTTGCGAGGATGAAGGGGTTTGGCTGCTTGGGTTTGGAGACTTTGGACAGGATTGGGCGGGCACTCGACCCAGAGGCTGGATGATGCCGACGACTGGATGAACGCGCGACAACCGAGCCAAGCAGCTGTCTGAAGAGTGGGCCAGAAAGGGAAATGCAAACTCACCTTCTCTTTTGGCCTGGATCTGTCTTTTTCTTTTTTTTTTTCTCTTCTTGCTCAGTCCACGTCCTTGTCAGAGGTGCGGAACAACGTCGTCTCTCCCACAAGAAGGGTGGCTTGACGAGTTAATAAGTCGATACTCTGTATTTCAATCCGTGCGATCGCGATACCCCAAAAACGATCCGGGGACGGTGTCTAGATCAGTGATGGTGTTTGACAGCTCGTACAGTCGCTAGCTGGTATTGCCGTGTGACACGGGCTCGGTGTGCCTGCAACACGGACCCGGGTTGACCCAACTTCTGGGTTGCTTTGATGCCTTGATTGGGATGACCGTGTCTCTGCGAAGCGAGAGGTGACGACAAAAAAAAAAGGTAGGTAGTGTGGTTCTGGATGGATGGAGAGGTGATGGTGTCACTGTTCCTAGTCGTGTTCGGATGCTTAGAGAATGCGGGTGGTCTCTGGATATGAGATGCGAAGTCGGATGAGATGGTGAGTCGAGATGAAGGTAGATGGATGCGAGAACGGACGAGAAGTTGTAGCGAGAGACGAGAGATGCTCCTTGAGAGTTCGTTCAGCTCGAGAGTGTGTCGGCGAAGGAGGAAAAAAACGAGGGACGGGTGCAAGGCAGTGGAAAGCCCCGTGAGGCAGGTAAGGCCAATGGTCCACTCGTCGAAGAGGGGGAGCTGTGAGGCGGAAGAGGAAGGAGGTCCCGTTGAAGAAAAGAACAAAGGAAGGAAGGCGCGAGGCTTAGA